GCTCAGTTGTGTCCGACTCTTTGCGACCCTATGGACTATCAGGCTCCTCCATCCATGGGATTTTCCAGGCAAGAATACTGGGGTTGGTTGCCATTTCTTTCTCCATACAATGTAAATGCTATATAAATTGCATAGTTTTAAATACTATATAGTTGTAGATACTATGTACAAAGTTTGATTTGCAGCAAATTCACCTTTTGCTTTTGGGGACTTTCTGGAATTTATTTTCCAGATATTTTCAATCCTTGGTGGATTGAATCCTCTGATGCAATACCCATGGACAGTGGATGGCCAGCTGTGCTAGAGAGAGGGGGCCTTTAAAATAGAGGGAAGTGCTGACACTTGGGTTTCATATACATCATCTCATTTAATTCTTAAAAAACTCTAGAAGTATAATCCCCATTTTACAAATGAGAAACTACAGCCTAAAGAGGCTGTCTTACCCCCAGATGAAACAGCTAGTCAGTGACCATGATCAGATCTGAACCCAGATCTGTAGATCTGGCTGAATTATAATATCTTCCTGGCTCCTGTGGCAGAGGAGTTTGGTGATCATGGTAGTTAACTGCCTGTCCATTTGTTATTCTTTGTTCTATAGAACTTTGGATTATTTGATGCTTTCAAGCCTGTATTGCTTCTGAGGTTCACAGAAATAACAAAGATACTAAAAAGAGAAAATAATAAAATCAGTGGTTCTTGGAAAACAATGTGAAATGCCTCTGGGAGTGGTAGATTTCATTATTCCAGAGGATTTAGGAAGACAGAGTATAAAGAACATGGAATATGGAAGAAAACGTAGGTCCCAGTTCTGCTCTGCTCTCCAGCTGCTTGGCTTTAGACAAATCACTTAACCTTTCTGAGCCTGAGTTGTCTCATCTTGAAATTACTCCTATCTCACAGACATGATATGAAGGTCAAATAATAACATAAATGGTACTACTTCTTGGGCTGCAGAATGCAATCTGTATCTTAATGTAAGTATGAAGTCTAAAAAAAAAAACTATCAGATTTACTAAAGCTGCTCCTTTGTTGCAAGAAAGGAGATTCCTTTTGGACACTTCCTGGACACAATTTCTGTGGAAGCAGGAGTCAGAGGCCTTTAGCCAAGTTAAATGTATAACGGTTGATTCTGCCTACTTATTTTCTACTCCGTTTTCTTTTCCTCTTATCTACACATCTGCATGTCAGGAATAAAATTTTTCCCCTATGATATGAGTTTTTTGATGGAAACTTCCAGACTTAGATGGGAGAAAGAAGAAGGGGGGAACAAAAGCCCACGTTTCTTCAGCATTTCAATCAACAACCTCATTTTCTTCTAACAGTTGAAGTGAACTTCTTATGAATAATGGATGATAACCTGATGAATATGCACACAGCCTATTATGCCTGTGAGGTTTGGTGAATAATTTATGAGCTAAAATGTTCCTCACCTTGTTACTGTACAAAAATTATGGGGAAAAAATCCATATTTACCCTTTGAGCTGGTAAGGTGATCTGTCAGAGTGACAGCAGCCTAGCAATAATTTTACATCATTGCTAAAATTAAAGTAAATAGATAAAATATATGCATTTCAGGGTGGGAAGTCTATAAAAAATGGAGCATGCCCAACCACACTCCTTGCCAAGCAAGTATTCCAGAACTCTGATTTCCACCTTTAAATAGCCCTGCATTGTTACCAGCACTCAGGGATCTTCTCTTTGATGGTCCTTTTCCCCTCACAAGGACTTCAATATAACCAGTCAAGGTGAACAATAGCTTATTTTATGAAAGCTGGCCAACTACAAGCCATGATGTAAAATTTAAGATGTCAGAGATTTTTTAAAAAGAAAGTCCTAAAAGCTTTCAGAGAACAAGCAGGTAAACACAGTGGGGGGAAAAAGGAAAAAAAAAAAAACCTGGCCCAGAAGCACTTGAAAAATGTATTTGCATTGCGGTCTTCTCTCACAGCTGAAAGGTTTTTTCCCCTGCTGACCAGCCTGACTCCCTGCTGTATCATCCTTCAACTCACTCCCACCTGCCCAAGCCTCCTTCTCTTAGCAACAGCAAAGATGCCTCTAACCTGGTGATTGGCAGGAGGAGGGGCAAGATCAACCTGCAGTTAAGGAAGGTGTCTGGGAAAATAGATGTGGATCCTGGGGAAATTTGGTTGCTCCAGGGCAACTTTTGAAGATCTGAAACTGAGTCAGTCCTCAAACTGCGCAAAACAGGATTCTAGGGATTATCTACTTAGATTCCAAGAGCTTTCTAGGAATAGAGTGCAGGGCCAAGGAAGACTCCTGCTGTCAACAGCATCCCTGATGCTTGGAGGACTCAGGTAAAAGAGGAAACACAAGGCCCTGTCCTACATCCGTTGGGTAAACCAATATATTCTCAGGAAACAGAAAGAAAGGGCTATTTACTACAAATTATGAGGTTTTTGAAACAATGATATAATTAAAATAATAATATTAATTTGAACAATTCAGTATTATTCAAGAAGGCTACTTAGAGGGGGTAAATCCTGAGGAGAGTTTGCAAGGAAAGAACAGCCCCAGCTGAATGGGAAGATTAGAGGTAAATATGGCCAGGCCTTTCTGATTTGGCCCCTGCCTATCTTTCCAAGTTCATTTTATGAAGTTCTTCCCGTCACTCGCTGTGCTCCAGTTTCTTGAACACCAGGTTCTTTCCTGTCTTATCACCTCTGCTGTTCCTTTGGTCTCCTGCCTATTTCACTTTTTAAAAGTATGTGTTTATTTGACTGCACCGGGTGTTAGTTGCAGTATGCAGAATCTTTAGTTGTGGCATGTGGAATCGAGTTCCCTGACCAGGAATCTAACTCAGGCCCCCTGCAATGGGAGTGCAGTCTTAGCCACTGGAAAATCAGGAAAGTCCCTATTTCATGTTTTAAACTTCGCCTTATATGTGACTTCCTTAGGGAGGCCTTCCCTGCCCCCCAGTGTGATTCTTTCTCATATCACCTTCCGGTTTCCTTCATTGTCACATGTAGTGATATATTTATGTGCTTATTTTTTGTTTAACATGTGTTTCCTCAGACGACTATAAATTTCAAGAAAGCTGTTTTGTTTTCCACTGGACACTTAGCATCCAATCTAGTAGACAATAATATTTTTTTAATAAATGTAGGCTGAGAGGCATAGGAATTGGGAGCAAAGGCGCAAAAGAAAATGTGCTGGGCTGAGGATACTATTGACGAGTTTTCTTTGGCACAGCATGTCACTGGTGACAGCTTCTCCCTACTTACTCATGGAAATATTTGTATTGTTGGCTTTTTTTCTGACTATAAAATGTGTACTTATTCCAAAAATCATATATTGCAATATTGAAGAAAAAAAAAAGACTGTATTTCAAGCATCAGTGAGGATGAAATAACTAAAACTCTCATACATTACTAGTAAGGATATAAACTGGTTCAGACATTTTAGGAAAGTATTTAGCAGTATCTGTGTTAAAAGTGTTCGTGGCTCAGTTGTGTCTATTCTTTGTGACCCCATGGACTGTAGCCTGCCAGACTCCTCTGTCCATGGAATTTCTCAAGGCAAGAATACTGGAGTGGATAGTCATTTCCTTCTCCCAGGGGTCTTCCCAACCCAGGGATCAAACCTAGGTCTCCTGCTTTGCAGACAGACTCTTTAATGTCTGAGCCACCAGGGGAGCATTATCTATGGGGTTAGCCAAAAAGTTTCTGTAAGATGTTACGGAAAACCCAAACTCAAAGTTTTTTATTGGCCAACCCAATAAAAAGTTGAACATATACCCCAAACTTAGCAATTCCACTCCTCAATATTCACCTAGGAAAAATAAGTACATGTATTCATTAAGAGACTTATACAAGCATGTTTAGAGCAACTTTTATTTATTTATTTTTTTTTACATGAATGTTCATAGCTTCTTTATTTGTTATATCCAAACACTGAAAACAACCCAAATGTTCAACAGGTGAATGAATAGACAATGGTGGTATACTCACACCACTCAACAGCAATAAAAAGAAACAAACTATCCACATGCACCTGCAGTGATGTAGACCCAGCTCAAAACTTACCCTGAGAAAAAGAAATCAGACCAAAAGACTATACAGTATATAGCTCATTTATACAAAGTTACTGAAAATGACAACTAATCTATAGAGACAGAAAGCAAATCAGTGGTTGCCTGGGAACAAGGATTGGAAGAGGGAGGGTAGACACCGTGAAGTTTTTGAGGGTGATGGATACGTCCATTTTTTTAAAAAAATATTTATTTGGCTGCACCAGTCTTAGTTGCACACAGGATCCCGGATCTTCATAACAGCATCTGGGATCTTCAGCTGCAGCATGGGAACTCTCAGCTGTGGTATACGGGATCTAGTTTCCTGACCAGGGATCAAACCCAAGCCCTGTGCATTGGGAGCTCGGAGTCTTAGCCACTGGACCTCCAGGGAAGTCCTGGATATAACCATCATAATTATGATCATGGGCATATACAAATATCAAAACTTGCCAAATTGTGCACTTTAAATATGTGCAGTCATTATATGACAATTATACCTCCATTCAGCAGTTTAGAAGCAGAATAATAAAATTTTAAGAGAATGTTAGTGATACAAATCATTATTAAAAGAACATATATATAATATTAAAAATAACTTAAGAGCAATACTCTGGGATCATAACCATATACAAAATTAACAAAGATTAGGAAGGTGGGGAGACTGTCTTGAAACAAAAGGAGTTAAAACTCTCATCAGAACATAGGGTATTAAAACTCAGGGTTATTACTGATTTTGATATTTAGAGAAATTTCAGGTTTTTTTTTTTTTTATATAATTTTATTTATTTCTGGTTGCACTGGATCTTCGTTGCTGTGCAAGGGCTTTCTCTAGTTGTGGTGCTCAGGCTTCTCACTGTTGTGGCTTCTCTTGTTGCAGAGCTCAGGCTCTGAACTCAGGCTCAATAGTTGTGGCACCCAGTCTTAGTTGCTCCGAGGCATGCGGAATCTTCCCGGACCAGGAATCGAACCTGTGTCCCCTGCATTGGCAGGCAGGTTCTTTTCCACTGTGCTACCAGGCAAGTCCCAGGGTTTTTTTTTAAAGTGCAGAGAATCTTCAAGTCCAGCAGAAGTGACTCTAGTTAGCCACTGGGTCCTCCCATGTTAAGAGGCATCAGGGCCAACCTTTGGCAGCAACATGGATGAACTTTGAGGGCATTAGGCAGGTGCTCCAACTGCTCCTCCAGGCTCTGCTCATCCCCGTGGTTCTCAATGACCCAATCGAAGGTCCCAAAGTTGTCCAGGCCACACTCTGACTCAGCGTCGTCCACCCCTGGTGTGAACACCCAGCCCCGCTGCTGCCGGCTCTCCTCTGTGGCCACCACACGGACCATCTGTGTCACATCCCCATAGGCCTCCTGAAACCACTGGATGTCAGACACTCTCCATGTATCACTCACTAGCCAGACAGGCTGGCAGACCCCCTCCACAATCTTCCTGCAGAAGAAGCCTGGGTCAGCCCGACGCTTCTCCTTGCCCCAGCGGATCATGTCCCTCCGATAGGCCTCCTTGTAGGTGCAGGCATCCAGGAGTCTCTGGAAGTCCAAGCCGTGCTCCTGAGCGTACTGCTCCTTGAGTGGACCGGAGAGCCGGAGGACAGCACACACGTCAGCCCCTAGCCTGCTCTGAAGCGCCTCGGTCACGAAGTCCTTCCTGGATTTCCTCTTCCCGCTGAACAGCAGCACCAGCCCCGGTACGCCTCCGAGCGGGGCCATGGGGGTCACCCTAGAGCAGCTTTTATGCATAAAAGACAAAAAGAGAAACTACTCAAATGCCCATCAATAGTAGAATGGATAAATTGTGGTATAGTTATACAATGGAATGTATAGAGCAGTATAAAAGAACAAGTAATAAACTGTTAAACACAACAACATGGGTGAATCTCAAAAACATGTGTTGAGTAACAGAAACCAGACACAAAAGAATACACATACTGTCTGACTCCATTTAGATGAAGTTCAAGAACCAGTAAAATTAATTTATAGTGATAATTGGACGTTTACCTATCAAGGAACACAGAGAAGTCTTCTCAGGTGTTGGAAATGCTCTATATCATATTGTGGGTGGTGATTTTGTATATGTTTATAAAATGTATATGTGTGATATATGATAAAATGTAATTATTATAATTATGCCCAGGGTTCCCTCATTGCAGGCAGATTCATTACCATTTGAGCTACCAGGGAAGCCCCAACTGTTATAAAAAATATTATATGTAAATAACATATAATCTATTTTATATGTAAATAATATGTGTAAATAATGTAATGTGTAGATAAAAATAAATGTTTTATGTATATATAAATAATTCATCAATATGTACATTTAGGGTTTGTGTACTTTACTGTGTGCATGTTATAACCGATAAATAAAAAATTTAGACCAACAAAAAAGTAATATATGTTCAGCATCAAAAATTTAGGCAAAAGAGTATACAATACAAATTTAAGGCTTCCTTTTTCCAAAGAAAACCACAATTACCATTCTCATGTCTGTCTCCCTGAACCCCTTTGATCACATCTGTTTCTTTCTTCATACTGTCCCTGATATCATGCATTTGATTTATCTGTGTGTAGCACCAAACCACATCAACATAGACTAAGAGTTTTGTCTTCATGTGACAACATTCAATAGCAATACAGAGCCTCTTCTTCACAAAAACAGCAGTAGGGAATACAAAAATGAGTTGTCACCATCTGTGCTCTCAAGAAATTTACAGCCTAAGGCAAGGGACCACAGGGACAAAAGACCAAACAAAACCTCCACGAATTGTAATATTGTCATGTATCAGCTTCACAAGGCCAGTTTAAACAGATTAAAACTACTGCACAGGTAATGATACCTTACAACTGTATATCAGAGTTTTTCAAAGTTCTTTCACATACAAGCTCACACAGTTAAACTTCTTGACCCCCTGAAGCAATGATGATAGAAAAGTAAGTAATGAAGTTAAATTACCTGCCTGAACTGTTAGTGGAATGGTAGGGGCTAAACCCTAAATATTCTACCTTGGAATCATGGGTTACTCATAGATCTGCCGAGTGCAGGTAAGGTTCTGGAAAAGTGTGTAGAGACGATCTACCACCTGGTGCTGCTCCGCTCTCCTGCTCTCCCCTCCCTTGCAGTTTCCTTCCATGGAGGTGGGGGCGCGGATGAACAGTCGCCAGTGGGCCGAGGGCTCCCCTTCATTCTCCTCACATTACCTCTAACTCGTCTATGCTTACCTCATCAAAAGATAAGCCACCAAATCTGGGGGTGGGGGTCGGGGGAGGCGGGCAGTAGATGGCGGGGCAGAGGGGAAACAGCCCAGGCTGAAGGCAGTCTCTCTAGGTCTCAAAGCTGGGACTCACAGTCGCTGGATTTACAGAGCCTCCTCCCTCCCCAATTCTTCCCTCATTCTTTCTCTTCCCCTTTGTTCTTCCAACTCCTTCCTCTTTTATTTGCCAACGACGTCTCGGTCCGTTTTCCCTCAGCCTCAAACAGTGCCTCTCTCTATCCCTTCCCCTTTCCCTACCTTCAGGAGCCTCTTAAACCAAACCCTCCCCGACATCACCACCACCAAAGCAGAACGTTAGGTTTTTCTTTTTGCTCCATGCCACTGAACTTTGTCTATTTTTTACATTTCCTCATATACTTGGTCAAGAAAGCAGGCAAGCTAGTCTCTAGACAGCGGCGATTGAGGTGTGTATATGGGGACTTTCGGGTCCAGGCCCCCACGCCTCCCACCTCCCCACCCCGCTCCCCCCGGGTGAGATGGAGCTCGGGCACAGCTGCTCCGGAGGTTGGTTGGGCGGTGGTTTTGGTCTGGCTGAGTTCCCTCCCTTTTCTCACAGTGGGGGCCCGGCCTGGGACTTGGGAATGGACACGAACTTGACTTTCAACGTTGAGCAGGGCAACTGACCAAGCTAGAGAGGACAGGGCGGCCGCTGGGAGTTACCGCCTCAACCCTAGGCTGACGGGAATGTGGCATAGGGTCTCCAGTTTGGACTTCTGTGCTCCCTACTCTCGCACCTTCCAAAATGAAACGACCTCAGGATGCTCCTCGGAGCGGTGCTGCTTGACCCGCCCCATCGACTTTCCACTCCGGTCCAGGAGGGGGCCGGGCAGGGGAGGTTTCGGGTTTGGTTAATATGCAATGTCCGTAATTAGCATAATTTATATATTTATGATAAAGAGAAAAAAAAAAAATGCCGCGGGGCCGGGGCGCCGGGATGTTGGGCCGGGGCGGCGGGGAGCTCCGGGAGCTGAATGGCGTGTGGCCGCTCGCCGGAGGCCGGAGACCCCGGGGGCCGCGCCCTAGCCTTCCTGCCGGCCCGCGGGGGCCGAGGGGAGGAGGGGGCGGCCGCCAGGTGGACCCCGTGGGGAGCTTGGACCTGGCCCCTCCCCATTTCTGCTCCGGGAGCCCAGGTTGGGTACGGACCACGGGGACATTCTTTACCCAGCCCCCGTGGCGACCGCGAAAGGACTGTCCCCCTACTGGAGAACCCGGACGCCTGGGTTCCCAGCAGTCAAGGTCAAATGAGGCGGCCAGAGCCACCTGTCACAATTCTCTCCAACCACCATACACCGGGAGGACTGGTGGGACTCGGGGTTAGGGACCTGGTGCTGCTGGAAGGGTGGGAGAGTGGTGGGAGGGTCACCGTCTAGCCGAGCACAAGCACTTCATAAATATTTAATAACAATATTATTATTAATAAATAGTCATCATAATGGACCCGCTATGTGCTCCCTGGGCATCCTCACCTGGCAAGGCCAAGGGAGCCGCAGGGCGCCTTGCAACCTCCACTTTCGCCTTGAGGTCCCCTACTCATTTGTCATTGGAAGCCCCAAATCTTCGCAAAACAGCCTCCGCAGCCGGCTGTGGGGGAAAATAAAACGCGGCTGTAAAGCCTGCCTCGCTAATGGAAAGAAGCTCTTTGCGGAGAGCTGGGATCTGCTCTTTCAAATTCCTTGCTCCCAAAGTAGAAGGCTGATCCTCAATTGTTCATGAACATATTTCCCACCTCCCTTTTCTTGGTGATCCAAGGCAGCCACCGTTGACCAGCAGGGCCTTCTGAGGAATAATTCCATGTATTTCGTTTTGATTGACATCCAGCTTCTCAGGGTGTTATTTCTGTGAACTGGTATTTCTTTGCATATCTGCTGTAGACCTTCATTTATTTGTTCATCAGGGCAACAAAAATATCCACTCTGTGCCAACTCTGAACAATACAGACAGAATTTGCCCTGTCTTGGAGTTTTAATTCCAGTTTGGTGGGTGGGATGGAGATGGGGACAGACAGATCATAAACATGAAAAAAACAAGATAATATAAAGTGATTGTGTGTGTGTGTGTGAGAGAGAGAGAGAAGGAGATGGGTTATTCTCTTCTTGGAAGTACTACCTAGCAATTAAGAGATGACTCAGAAGAAATTTGCTTTTCTAAGGAGTCTTGGCATTATGAAGGAACATGGGACAAAATCATATCCCCCCTCCCCAAGATTTGCTCACTGTAAAGTCATAGTAGTAATCTTACATGTTTTTTATAACACTTTACAATTAAGAACAGTGCTTTACTTCAACTTAAAGCAATTACGTAGTGTTTGCTGTGTGCCAGACCCTGTTCCAAAAGCTTTACATAAATCTTAGTGATTTAACAATAGCCCATGAGGTGGGCACTGGAATTTAGCCCCATTTCACAGATAAGGAAACAGGCTGTGAGGTGTTACCTTAAACAGAAGCAATACTCAATCTGAGCCTTCTGCCTTTGAACCCCAAGCTCTTTCTGTGTCAAAATGAGGGTCAGTGAGGCCACAGAGAGAATGGGACTCGGGAGAAACTGGCCAAATGAAGTAAGACTTGGGAATGAGGAGCTGAACTGGCACATTAGGAGAGGATGAGTGTGACCGGGTTTCTTAAGAACTTAATACTACTTCTTTGAAATCATTTTTAAGTATCCCTAGTATTGAAAATGAGGGCATGAAATTTGAAATAGGCTGTGTTCTTTGAGGAAAAGATAGGAAATATGAGGAGACTAAAAGAGTATGATCTGATATCATAATTTATGTTTTCAGCTCGTATTCATTAACCTCTGTTGTGTACCAGGAATTTTATGAGGCTCTGGGATATGATGGTAAGTGGATATGCTTTCTTGGTCCTTAAAGTCTAGTAGAGGAACATACTTCTTCTTGTTTTTCACATTTACCCCCTCTGTTCACCCTGCCTGGGATGAATCAAGTTTGGGCACAAGGGGGTGGGGGGTGGTGCAGGAGGAGAAACTAAATCTAAATGTGTCTTTATAAAACAGGTCTTTACTGTTTGACTATACATAGCTAAAATTTACAAATGGTTGGTTGGGAAAGAAGTAAGTTTGTTAACTACTATCCTGTCTTTCGCCCTTTCCTCTCCTTCTGGCCCATGTGTGTGGCTAGCTAGTCTGCCAATAGCTTGGCAAGTCATTTATCTCTGTCCATGAATTGGGGTTGGGAGAGGTAAACTGATTAGTGTAAGTCGCTCAGTCACGTCCAGCTCTTTGTGACCCCGTGGACTATAGCCCATGAGGCGCCTCTGTCCATAGGATTTCCCAGGCAAGAATACTGGAGTGGGTTGCCATTCCCTTCTCCAGGGGATCTTCCCAATCTAGGGATCAAATCTGGGTCTCCTACACTGCAGGCAGATTCTTTACCATCTAAGCCACCAGGGAAGCCCGTTTTTATTTCTTGGCCACACTGCAAGGCATGTGGGATCTTAGTTCCCTAAACAGGGATTGAACCCACACTCCCTGTGTTGGAAGCTCAGAGTCTTAACCACTGGAACAATTTGAAGCAGAATTGAGAGCTTCCGCTTTCCACTGTGTCCTGATCCCTGGGGGCCAGAGCAGCCCCCATCAGCCTTCCTCCCATTTCCTGAATGAAGGCTTAAGTGTGGTGTCAGGAGAATAGAAATCTGGGGCAGGTGATGTGACCTTGAAGTTTGAAGGTCATGGACTGTGCCCTTGAGCAAGTCACCTGACATCTCTCCACCTCCATTTTCCTATAGATAAAGATGGGGATCATCGTAAGAATACAGTGTTAAGCATTTTACTTGCATGATCTCATGAAAGAGTGAAAGTGTTAGTCACTCAGTCGTGTCCTACTCTTTGCTACCCCATGGACTGCAGTCCACCAGGCTCCTCTGTCCATAGAATTCTCCAGGCAAGAATACTGGAGTGGGTTGCCATGCCCTTCTCCAGGGGATCTTCCTGATCCAGGGATTGAACCTGGGTTTCCCACATTGCCGGCTGATTCTTTACTGTCTGAGCAACCAGGGAAGCCCTAATCTCATATCACCTTTTTAACAACCGCATAAGGCTTGCCCATTAATCAGCATTTTAAAGATAAGGAACTTAAACTTCAAAGAGATTCAGTCATTTGCCCAGGATGGCACAGCTATTTCATGACCAAGCTGGGATTTGATCTAGGTTTTTCTCCTAAGCCTATTCCATTATCTCTCTTTGATCATCAACTTTCTCTTCAATAAAAATGAGAATTGTAATAGCTAATTGTTATTTGTGCTTTATACAGTAATTCCAAGATAAGCTCTCTTATTATTTAATCCCTGAAAAAAACGGAAGTAATCTGCCTACTTGTCACACAGGTGGTCAAGCTTTACTATGTGTTTGCTCTGTGGCCTCATGGGGCTGGTGTCAAAATTGAATAATAGTCAACAGTTCATATTTATTGAACCCTTACACAATTTACTACAACGCTTAGTTATTCCCGTTTCAAATATGGTGACTGAGGCAGAAAGACCTGTTACCAAACCTAGGTTCCTAACTGCTGTACTAAATTTAAATGAGATAATATATGTAAGGGCTTCCTTGGTGGCTGAGATGGTAAAGAATCTGCCTGCAGTGTAGGAGACCCAGGTTCAATATCTGAGTCAGGAAGATTCCTTGGAGAAGGGAATGGCTACCCACTCCAGTGTTCTTGCCTGGAGAAAATGTAAATTTTTATAATAGCTACCATCTTCTCAGCACTTACTATGTGCCAGTCATTGATCTAAACTTTTTATGTGCACTAATTTATTCAGTCTTCATAATAGCCCTATGAAGTAGGTACTATTACTCTCATTTTTACAGATGAGGAAACTGAGGCAGAGAGGTTAAATAATTTGTCCGAAGTCCACAGCTAGGGAATATCAAAGCTGAGATTGTGAACCCAAAAGTCTGTCTCCAAAGAGTGCTCAATGTAGTCCTATGAATAAAGGGGCTGGGTCCCCATAAACTATTTTTTAAATTTATTTTTAAATTGAAGTATCATTGATTTACAATGTTGTATTAATTTCTGCTGTATAGCAAAGTGACTCAGTTATACACACACATACCTTTTTTTTAATCGTCTTTTCCATTATCGTTTATCCCAGGGCCAACAAACTAGTAATAATGATTAACAGTTTTTTATTAATCATTAACAGTATTTTTATTAATCATTAATAATGATTACTTTTCAGCAGATGGGAAGGGAAATCTATGTCCTGGGGCCAGAAATGGAGAAGGGTGGGAGAACATACAGAAAATCCATCAAGCAAATGAAAACTTGAAAGATGTAGCAACCCACCTGAAGATTGATGGTTTAAGAACAGAGCAGATGATGCTTGCATGCAAGAGGGGATGTCATCTTGTGTTCCTTTGCATTAGGTACAACTGCATGGACCATGATGGAAGTCGTAAGAAGTGGAGGGATTCTGGGTGCACTGGAAGGGAGAGCCAACAGGATTTGAAGAAATCAATATAGATGGAAATATAAGAGCAAAGGCAAGGATGAAAGCAAGGTTTTCAACCTGAGCATCTATGGAAGGATGAAGCTGCCATTTGCTGAGATGGGGAAGGCTGCAGGCAGGTGGAGCTGGTTTGGGGTGCAAATCAGGAGTTTGATTTTGAATATGTTAAGTATAAGATCTTGTAAGCAATCAGTAGGTAGTTGGATTATATGAGTCTGAAGTTCCCAGGTGAGGTCTCAGCTGGCGGCTGTCAGGCTGGGTGAGACCACCTCAGGAAACCATCCTTGTCTGGATGATCCGGCTCAACTCCAACTACCAGTCTGTACTAATCTCCTGCTTCCTGCTTCCTGGCCTTGTGACCTTTTTAGATGGCAGCCCTGCAGGAGGTAAGTTGGTGCACAATTTAAATATAGAAGTGATGTAGAGCTGAAGATGCTAATGTCAACATACAATCTCATGTGAGAGGATTATGTCAAAAATTTGAAAGGTAATTTCCCATAACAAATGTGACTTTCTATTAAATACCAGTTAAACTCATTCCATTCATTCCTTTAATCCACGCGGAATACTCTCCATCCCCCAAAATGACTATAGTGAGAGGTACTTTACCTCTTGGAAACCTCAACCACATTAAAGTATAAAGTGATTAAAATCACAGAGATGAGTCTGCATTAAAAGTCAATCTCATATAACAAATTCCATTTTCCTCTATATGTCACAAGATGCTTCATGTACTATCAAATTTTATGTCTGAAATACATGCCACCCTGGAACAAGGGGCAAAGGACCACATAAAAGTGCATTAGATATCCCTTCAGTGTATCTTCTGTCACCCTCTATTCATCCACCATGACACTTAAACATACTATATTGTCATTACCTTTTTATTTCCTTGATGCCTGTATTAGACTGTTGACTTCTTGACAAAGCTGGGGAACATGCTTTTTCCCGCTGTATCCCAATGCCCAGCACATAGTGGCCACTGAAGTATTTGTTGAATAAACAAAGGACAAAGCATTCAGGATTTTTCTTGTAGGATCTCAGGCTATTCTAGGGGGTTCTGATTTGTTTTAGACTTCCTTGCTCCTCCTGCGTATCTTGGAAGATTACCTTAAACCCAAAGCATTTCCCAAAGGAGAATGATAAGTAGAACAAGGTCCTCTAACTCAGTTTTTCCACCACTGAGAGTCCTGAATGGTCCTGGACCTCTGGATTTTGGGGATGGAGACACATGCCTCAGTAACTGCTGTTTATCCTCACTCTGAGGCTGCTGTGTTCTCAGATGCTAGCACAGGGAAGCCAGCGACAAGTGAGCCATCTGTTAGCCTTGACAGGTTTGATTCAGGTAGTTTTCAAACTCAGCTCACTGGAGAAAGGAGGCAAAGGGGCGTGCTGTGCCTGGACACTGGCTCCTGTCCCAGCTTTAACCAAAGCAGCTCTGCCGTGACCCGTGTATGCACCAGGGCTCTGCTTCTAGGGTAATCACAGGAGCCCCTTCTCTCAAAACTGACAGGTAATCGTTGCTCTTCATTGCTCTCAGGCTGTGGACACTGCATGACATTATGAGCTCAAAGGAGGCAGGCCATCCAGATGTGCTATTTATTATAGTCATAGGAGTGAAACCCCTAAAACCCCTGGGGTCAGCCAGCAGTTGCACTCCTAGGTATATACCCCCAAATTGAAAACAGGTGTTCCAACAAAAACTCGTATACAAAGATTCATAGATGCACTATTCGCAGTAGCAGAAAGGTAGAAACAACCAAAATATCCATCAGCGGATGATTGAATAAACAAAATATGGCATATCCATACCATGGGATTTTTTTTTTTACATATGAGTTTAATTATGTGCTAGATTATCCAGATGGAAATATGTGATAAGTGGATAGAAACAAGAGTCATAAAATAAGAGAGGCCGGCATTTTTAGACCCATGTAAGTTTAGACAGTTATCAGGTTGGACTGTTTTTTAACATTTACAGTAAAACTTTTTTTTTTAACCACAATAAACAGAACAATGTATTAAAACTGACTTCCAAAATTGTCCAAATTATTTTTTAATCACTATTAAAAATTTTCACATATTTATTTAAATGTTTCCTTTGGCAGATTTCTCAAAAATACTGAAACCTTATTTTAGAACTTGGTTTATATTTGGATACTAACAAGCTTCGTAAATTGGTGTTCATCAGGATACCCTTCTCTAAGCTCTAGTGGCTTATACCTTCTCTTTAAAATGTGCAAGTATCTTTTTTATTACGTTGTCATTCTCAGAGATTCTCTGGAGAAAGAATTATGAATGAAACTCTTATGAATTCATCTTCATTTCTGTTACAGTGGAGCAATTTATCATCTTACCCACAGTGATCTATCAACTGGGTGAGGTTCAGTTTCTTGTCCTTTTGGGACTTAGTTGATTGCCCCTCACAGAGCAACATTAACTACAGTGTCTTTTTTTCCTTATTAACAACTGTAACTGAGACAGATCATTCTTTGAGTGGTACATTTTGACTAGTTTTAGCCTCTGAAGATCTTTCCCTGGAATCTCCTTCACTGATTTGGCTTTTTCTTCATTTAATCCTTGTTTGGAAAGATTCTCATTCACAAAATCGTTTTGGAGGACCTTGCATGACTCAGTATCCATGATTTAGATTCACATGCATCATTTTTTGTTTGTTTTTGGTCACACTGTGTGGCATATGAGATCTTAGTTCCCTGACCAGGGATCTAACCTGCACCTGTCTCCCTCTGCCACCCCAGACTGAAAGTGCAGAGTCTTAATCACTGGATTACCAGGGAAGTCCTGCATCAATATTCTTTGAAGTGTTTTTCAAATATAAACTTCCTTCTAACTCACTGTGTGTTTAAAATTTTCTTGAAATTCCAAACAGTTTTTCTTTTGCTAAGGGTCCTGTCTTCTCTGAAAAGATCTGATTGTTTTTTTCATTCTTAACTTTGAGATGCTTTACCACTCCATTTATTTATGAGAATTAAATGAAGATCTTGTTTTGCTTAATTGTCCTTTAAGTGTTGCACTCATAGGTTGTTTTCTTGAACTATTCGTATGGGGAGGTGGTTGATTGGCATAGACATGCAGAGTGCTGGGTAAAGTCACAGCTGAGTCTGATGGACTTTCCATCTTGGAAACGAAGTCTTGACTTACCTGTGCCTCTGCCTTCCCTGGAGAGTGAAAGAGCCTATATGATGAAATTTTATCCAGCCATGTAAAGAAATGAAGCGCTGATACATGCTATGGATAAACCTTGAAAATATTCTGCAAAGTAAAAGAAGCCAGAAACAAAAAGGCCCCCTGTCAAATGATTCCATTTATTAATATATGAAATTTAGTGTTAGTCTTTCAGTCGTGTCTGAGTCATTATGAATATGGACTGTATTCCTCTAGGCTCCTCTGTCCATAGAATTCTCCAGGGAAGAATACTGGAGTGGGTAGCCATTCCCTTCTCCAGGGGATCTTCCCAACCCAGGGATTGAACCCAGATCCCTGCATTGTAGGCAGATTCTTTACCATCTGAGTCATCAGGAAAGCCCTTGTGAAATACTGAGAAGAGGCAAATCCAAAAAGAGAAAGCAGATTCATGGTTGCGAAGGGCAAGAAAGGAGAGTAACTGCTAATGGACATGGAATTTCCTTTTGGAGGATGAAAATGCTCTGGAGCTAAATAGTGGTGATGGTTACATTTACAACACTGTAAATGTACTATAAATGTACTGAATTCCATTAAGTTGTACATTTAACTTGATGTCATGTGAATTTTACCTCATTAATCAAATAACAAGGAAGCCCAGTGAAAAAAACCCAGGGGTAGAAGAGGAGGAGGAAGAGAAAGGTGAGGAATCTAGAACACTTCTCCGAGCGGAGTGTCCTCATCTATATAACATGGTGATGCTAATATTCCCATACCCCAGCTGGCATAAGTAGTACGTGAATTAGTATTCCATAAAATGCTTAGCACAGTGGGCACTCAGAATAAAAATGTTAGTTGCTTCTTCTCTATTTCAGCGTCTAAAACCAGTTGTCCTAGTTATTACCTTTATTTCTTGTGACTGTGGTTAGTGGCTCCAGCCAGCCCGTCTGTCCTCACAAAGTCTTCTGTCACTCCCTGCACACGGGGCAGCTGCTCCACCATCTGGTGTGTTATCCTGCCTCTCATGTTAAAGGCCAGTGTGGTTCTTGGGCCGCTGCCACAGAAACCCCTGAGGGGCCCACCTACTGAATCAGACTCCCTGGAGATGTTTGGTCTGGGAAAATCGGGGTGGGGGAGTCTGCAATTTTAATGTGTTCCAGGCACATTAAAGTCTGAGACAACTGTTTCAATTTATTCCTATCTTTGCCATCTCTTCCGGGGAAGTCTGCTCAGACCCTGCCCCTGAGAATTGCTCTGATACCCAGAGTGCTCCTTACTTGTGTCTGGTTCTGAGTGTCTGGGTCAAAATCACTTTGGGTTCTGCTGGGTCTGCTCTTTCCCACTGGACTGGAGAACTCCCAGGGACAGACATCTGGCCACACCCCACCCCCCCATTCCTCTTGTTACCCTGGCTCCTCCTGAGTGTAGGTTGTCCTAGGATGTTGCAGGAAGTCAGACATTTTAATTTTAAAATCCTTAGAATCCTATTTCCTTCACTTCTACACATACCTGAGAGAACTTAGCTTCTCTCTCTTCCTACCATTCTACTTCTGACTTTCTGAGATGATATGGAAATTGTCTTACATTGTCACATCAGCCTTTGCTTTTCCCATCTCATCTCACCCTGCAGAATGTGTAGGTGTGGGCCAGCCCCCACCCCACCCTGAGAAGTGACCATGGATCCTGGAGCCGGGCCAGACTCATCTCTGACTGTCAATGAGCAGGTATCTTTTGGAGCAGGAAGAGGTGGGGGTGGGGAGGGGTAGGGGGATGGACTGAGGTGTGTGGGCAAGGAGGAAAACTCCGTAGAGCCCTTGTTGACTGTTTCTTACCAACGTTCATGGTCACTTGACCCATCCAGATGTGGCTGCCAGCTAGGATTTTTCAGGGGCTGGGTTTGGGGACTTTAGTTGTGACTTTAAAAAGTGAAATATGTATAAGTTAATATGGGGAAAGATTTGGGTATCATTTTTCTTGGTTATATATCATTTTCTAATTTTTCCTTCAATGACCTTTTATTACTTATATAAATTTTTTTTAATCGGCCATACCTGTAGCTTGCGGGATCTTAGTTTCCCAACCAGGAATCGAACCCAGGCCCCTGGCAGTGAGAGTACCAAGTCCTAACAACTGTACCACCAGGGAATTCCCTTATGTATTTTTTATGTAAAAATACTTACATATTTTTAAAAGGAGAAAAAAAGATGAACAGCTCTTAAAATGTGATTAGAGTAAAGTTTCTCATAGTCAGGTTTGATTCAGAAAGGGAACTGCTTGGGAAGGTTATTTCACTCATACTCCCCTGATGGGTCACATAGCTCCTTTTTCCAGCAGAGTCTCTGGCTGGATCCAGTTTTCAGTTCCAAGGAGTGTATTGTGGGAGTGGCTTTGGGCCCGGGAGAATTGCAGGGAAGGCCTGATGCAGAGCTTGATCAGACACCCTGATGCAGGGTGTCCCTGATTTTTGAATGACCCAAGTGGAAGCCTGTCAGTGCTGGAGGTAAAGCACTAAATGCTGGCTGGCTGAGCAGGAAGGAAGACTCAGTGTTCCAAGGAGGCCCAGGGGCCACCCGCATCACTTTGCATGGGGCTCCCCTCTAGGAGGTGCAAGGTTAGAGCACGCACACACCAGATGGCACGCTGGAGCTGCAGGTCTGCAGGGTACAAAGCTCTAGTCCAGGAGGGCCAGCAAGAGCCCACGCCCTCAGAATTCCTGACCCTCTTAGCTTGCAAGGAAATTATGGCCTCTAACCTCAGGGTTTTGCACATTAAGGAACCATGAACTTCAAAAGTTCCTCAGCATCCTGGAGCATTCATTTTCCACTCCTGTAATGTCTGGAGGGACATGCAGAGGGATTCCTGTCTTATCCCAGCTGAAGCTGTGGGTCCTGTGTGAGGGGTCATCATAACCACACTCCAGTATCCTAGCAGCCAAGGAGACATCCTGGCAAGGCTGTGGGTGAGGCCATTTACCAGTCCCTGAACTGAGAGCAAGAGAGGGAGCAAACAGAAATGTCTGCAAGTGGTTTCGCTCAGTGGGACTTTTTCTAGCTTGTGTCAGATCCTTCCCCCTGCCCCCAGGGCCTGCTCTCTCCTAGCACTTCCTTCCCTGGAATCAGGGAGCTTCAGGCTCTGGGAATTCTCACAGAGCACACAGTCCTCAGGACAGGTCTGCAATCTGAGATGCTGTCTCCTCTCTGCCTCAGTCACACCTAGAGCTCTAGCTCCCTGGAGGCAGTATCCCTCGCAGCCTCTTTCCCCAGCAACGTCCCTCTCCTCTGTTCACAGGTCATCGTGATGTCAGGCCATGAGACCATCCGAGTTCTGGAGGTTGGAGTGGATGCCCAGATTCCTGCTGAGGAGGAGGGCAAAGCGCTGGAGGCTGTGGCCGCCGAGGGCTCCCAGAGCGGAGGCCCTGCTGAAGCTGGTGAAGCTGCCGGTGAAGCTGGCCCAGACCACCCAGACTCCTCCGTGGAGGCCACTGGTACGAGGCCACTGCTCCCAGGGACCATTGCTCCCAACCTGAGTCCCTTCCCGTGTTCCCCCTGGGGAGCCAGCATGAATTCCAGGGGGGCTAGGTGGCTTTCGGGGTGTGTGGTCTTCCTGTCCACTGAGCAGGCCTCGGTCACAGCCTGCACCGCTGTTCAGCTCCTTGGCCACTCCTCAATCCCTGGAATGAGGGACTGTTTGCAGTTATTTATAGACCTAAACTGGGATGGGTCAGGGTGAGGTGGGAGGAGAGTGGTGGGGCTCAGCTCAGGGGATTGCATTTTCTTTACTTTCAGACAAGGCTTTCCTGGGGCCCCTGCTGCAGCAGAGGGAAGCGAGAACAAGCACACGTTCCCTTGCTTGCTCGCTCCCTGAGGGAGGACCAGCTTGTTCCTTATATGGGGTGAAGGTAGGGATGTGTCCAGGGGTCAGGCTGGAGGGGTGGCTTAGGTGTTTTGCCCATTCCTTAGGTGGTGTGTGTAGGGGGCACACGCAGTCCTCTGCTTTTGCTCTAAGCTCTTCGAAAGTGGCAGTTGGGTTTTTTGATCTCTTTCTATCTTTGGTTCAGAATTTGCCGTAACTGCACGTGCACACAGAGGTGATTGGATTAACCTCAGAGAGGGCTCCCAGGTCTAAACCAGACCCTCAGGCTCAAGGCAGAGAGGACTTAACCTTTAGGATACTGCCAGCCCTTGAAAATCAGTACCTTTTATGGTGGAGCTGGGAGGTGCCAGGAGCTGGGGATGGAAGGGCATCTTACCCACATTGGGCTAAGAATGTGTGTTAGGGAGGGCCTTGTAGAATCACAGCTTCTCACTCCTGGCTAGACTGACATGCGTCTAGCCTGGTGGGCTTATCTGGGCTGTTTTTCTCCAAAGGTGACTTTAGGGCATGAGTTTGATTCTCCTACATGGGGAAGGATTGACTCACACTGTCTCCCCTAATGACCCTACAGTACAGCTGTGAGATGGCCAGGCTGTTCTAAAAGCTGGCACTGGTTGTAGGCACTGCTTTCTGGGCACAGGGCACCCTTTCATTGACTCTCCTCATTTACACCTTGCAGAATAGACATCTCTTTTTACAGAAAGCCTGGGGCCTCCTTTGCCAGAAAGCCATGGTTCATCTCGCCTTGTCTTCTGCTGAACTTCACCGCTTCCCTAGACTGGTGATCTGGTTGGGGGAGGTGGGGTGGGCCAAGAGGAAGAGCCATGAAGAGAGCAAAGAGAACAGAAAACAAGCGAAAACACTTCGAGATCTCACCTCCCTTGCTGTACTTGCAAATCAGTATGTAGATCCATTTGGGACCCTGGTATTTTATTTTTTATCCTTTTGATTAAAGGAATGACAAGACACATGACCATTTTCCCTAGCCTGGCAATGTTCTGCTTCCTAGTTGAGGAAGTGTCCTGGGCCAGTGTCCTGGTGAGCGGGCAGGAAAAACAAGGATTCTCCATCTCAGCCACCCTTTCCATTCCTTGCCATTGTGGGGATGGAGCCCCTTTTCAGGAAATCTAGCAGGTTTTACAGGTTTGTCCACAGTTTGTGTGTGTGTGTGTGTGTGTGTGTGTGTGTGTGAAGTTGCTTTAGTCATGTCCAGCTCTTTGTGACCCCATGGACTGTAGCCCGCCAGGCTCCTCTGTCCACGGGATACTCTAGGCAAGAATACTGGAGTGGGTTGCCATGCCCTCCTCCAGAGGATCTTCCCAACCCTTGGATTGAACCTGGGGTCTCCTGCGGCTCCTGCACTGCAGGTAGATTTTTTAATCACTGAACCACCAGGGAAACCCCACACAGTGCTTACCTTTCTTTTTTACCCTTTTATACATCTTCCATATGCCTTAATTCTATTCCTTACTCAAAACTTACTCTCAGAAATGGATCCCAAACCAGTAATTTACACCTTAGCATGAGTGTTCATGGTAGTGTGCATCTTCTTCCAGAAGTTTATCTAATTAAGCCTTTCATTAAAGTCTTCTTTGTAAAGGAAATTTAGTCACAGTCAAGCAGGTAGGGGAGGTATGTTGGTAGTAGTTCCTAAGAAGTTGCCAGCTTAAATTGTAGCTTTGATAGAACATTTCTGCATATGAAATATTGAGAAGAGTTTCCTCTTAAAGCTGAGTAATAGGAAACTTTTTCCCGATGGAAAAAGAATCTAGTGATTTGTGTCACTCTATTACCCAGACCTCGTCACACATACATATTTTTATAGGTGTGGCCCCTGAGGGCAGGCTAACTAGTATGACACCTTCCACCATATTATTTCATATTCTGTGTCCTTTATTAACAGATTCACTCACTGATTTTGGCTTTGGCTATTATCAAACTCCCTGGTTTTTTCATTGTCATAAACAGCTGGTTTGAATGGCCCTTTAATTCTATTTTTCTTTGAGGTGTAGTCCACTAAAATTCCTTTTGAAGAGAAATGAATTGTTTACACAGTAGGAAATCATTACATGGAAAAACACACAAAACCTTGCTATCAATGAGAGGAAAAGTAGTCAGCCAAGAGGTACCATCTATGCCTCTGAAGCCAGAAAAAGAAATCATGATAAAATCTAAACTGGGTGGTGCTGTGGAGAAACAGGTACATTGTTGATGGTTCCACAAATTGGTTCAATCTTCCTGAAAAGCAATCTAGCAGGAAGCAAAAAAAATCTGGAAATGTATCCTAATGAAATGACTTATTTCTTCAGATGGTAAGCTTTCATCACTCATGCTTGTTACATTTCCATTTCCTCAGTTTCCTTTATAGGTTTCATCACAGTTTTAAAAAAAATAAACAACAGCTGGTATTGTTGCTTGTTTTTATTTATTTATTTGGTTGTGTCGGATCTCAGGTGCAGGACATTGGATCTTCGTTGGTCCTTCACTGTGGCGCTTGGACTCTCTAGTTACGGCAGACATGTTTAGTAATTGCAATGCCCGGGCTTAGTTGCTCCACAACACTTGGAATCTTAGTTTCCCAACCAGGGATTAAACCCACGTCCTCTGCATTGCAAGGCAGACTTAACCACTGGATCACCAGGGAAGTCCCGGTTTCATGACACTTTGTCAAGTGAAATATTTTTTAAATTCTCAGAGGTTCAGATTATCCTCATCTTCTCTGATTTTTATTCAACAGTTAGAAATATATTTCCCTTCACAGTGGACATAAATCTGCTGTTTGGTTTTCTTTGGTATTTTTATATGGTTTTTGTGGTTGCTTGTCTCTTTCATCCTTGAAGCAGTCTGGATTTTTAAATTGTATACTGTTAATCGTCCTGGCTTAGGTTGGTGCCTTCCCAGATTAAAACAGGAGCTGGGAATGCAGGCTTGGAAGGTTCTCTAGTTCAGTGGTTCCCATTTTGTCTGTGTGGTATATCACAAGGGAGCTTAAAAGAAAAAGAGAGAGATGTGAGGTTGCCAGCCTCCACTCTTGGACATTCTGACTCAGTTGGCCTAGAATAGGATCTGGAAACCTATGCCCAGCCACCATTAAGAAGCCACTCATCTGGTCTAACACCCAACAACTAGACTCCCTGTAATGTCTCACTATATATTAAATAACCCTTCTCCATATTGTTATGTGACTTTGAAGAGTTTTTCTGGTAGGCGTCCCTACCTAACTAACTCCAGGTAGTGAGAGAAAGCTCTCACTTGGTTGAAAAGCTACAATTTATGGGAAGCTCCTTTAGAACCTCCAAACAGCTGCTCATCAGACTTCAGACCTCAGGGAATGGCAGAGAAAAGTTATCTGGCCTGGAGAGCCCCTGGGATCCTGAGTGTGGCCATGACATGTCACTTCCTAGGCTTCACCTTGCAGAAATCCTACCGCTTCCCTGAGCCAGCACTGCATCCCCAAAGTAGCTTGGAGGTAGAGTGACCGTTGATCCAGTTGCTGGATGAGCCAATCAATCCCATTGATTCTGGCTCCTCCTCTCCCTGATACATGTTCATTTCTACTGCTGGTTATGTGATAGGTCCTAGCATCCTACCAAGCCAGGAGACGAGAGGCTGATACGCAGCTGTGCCTGGGTCTGCATTTTTGTCATCCACATGTGGGACAAGGGTGGTCTACCTTCCAGGTCTGGCACAGGGCTCTCCAGCCTCCCAAACTCACTACCAGTAACTTTGGGGAAACTCCTTCTTTGGGCCAGGGAAGACCAGAGATCAGCCTCTGGTTATGCAGAAACGCAAGGTGGCACTGAGAGTTGTCCCACTCACTCCAGGTTCACTCCTTGTCCCTCTCTCTCCCAATGCTGCATGAAGTGAAGTCGCTTCCGGGGATGCCTTTGAGCCCTGCCCCTGCCGTTGCCACCTTCAGCCAAGCTCCATGCCAGCCTCAGGCATCACAGACCCTGACGCCACTGGCTGTACAAACTGCCCCCCAGGTAAGGGCCACCCCAGGGAGCTAGACAGAGGGCAGTGGGCAAGAGAAAGGCAAGGGATAGCCAACATGGGCTGGCCATGGGGTCTGGGAACTTCATAAGGCAGAACAGGGAAGGGGCTGTGGCTTGAGGGAGGGAATCTCCTACTAGGGACCCCTGGCCTTTCCCCTGTCCCAGATCAGGCCCCCTGGGAAAAGTAAATCTGCATTTGTCAGGTAATCCCCTTGGGTCCAGCAAGGATTATAAGAGTACAGTAACTCCTTCAAGTCATCTAATGATTAATTGAGTGAATACCCTTGTCAGCCCCTCTAGGGGGTGCCTGGAAGAGTTAATGGCTCCTCATTTAGAGCAGAGGGCAGCCCCAGCACAGCGAGAAGCTGCTCTAGGGGCCTCCAGGCAGACTGAGCACCCTGTGACATCTTTCACTGCACACACATATCCAAGGTGTCCATCAGGAGTGTCTTCCATCATAGCTTTCCAGAGGCCTCTGTGGGCCTTGACGATTCAGTTCCACCAGCCCCTACCCCTGCTTCCTGGTCACAAAGCAATGGTCCCGTGGGCAAAAACCCAGGGAAGGCTTGGGAGGCAGCCGACCACAGTGGGAGAGACCTGTGACCCTTTCTGATCCTGGGGCAGGGCTGGGCCCTGCCCCTGATGTGGGCTGCTTCTCCAAAGATGGGATCGTCCAGTCCAGGTCCCTCCTCAGGGATGGGCCTCCAGTTCGGGCTCATCTCTTCCCTGCCCTCATGCAGCCTTCCCCGCCTCCCCTCAGAATGCTTTGTGTGTGCTCAGCTGGGTCGACCCAGCGTTTGCGCTGTTGACGTTGATTTTTTATTTTTTCTTTTCTTTTTTGAAATCTTGTTTGCTTTTGCAGGTCTTGACTCAGGAAAACTTAGCCACAGTTCTGACAGGAGTTATGGTTCCAGCAGGGGCAGTTACTCAACCTCTTCTTATCCCCATCAGTATTGCAGGTCAAGTGGCTGGTCAACAGGGGCTGGCCGTGTGGACAATTCCTACCGCAACCGTGGCTGCCCTCCCAGGACTGACCGCTGCTTCTCCCACGGGGGGAATTTTCAAGCCACCTTTAGCTGGTCTCCAAGGTAACGGCAACTCTCCCCAGGACTGCACCAGGCCCCCGCCACCTTCCACTACCTTCCCTGCTCGTGTGTTTGCCATGTTGGACTCTGAACCCGCGGCCCTCCCAGGGCAAGAGCCCTGGAGTCTGGATCTGGTGTCCCAGGCCCCCAGCCAGAGAGCTGCTGCACCACCTCAGGACTCTAGGCCACGACACCACGCTGGCCCAGCAGGCCTGTCTTCCTCCAGCTGTCTGGACTGCCCTCCCCACCACGCCAGACCTCACCCTGTGACCAGCCTCCTGAGAAGGACTGCAAGAAGATTCCACTTCTGGTTCTGAACCTACACATCTCCAGGCCCTAGGGAGGGGGGATGAGAGATGTTGGCATGTGCCACCCCTGCAAGGATCAAGGGAATAACAGCAGCCCCACCCCAGTGCCCCGACCCCGTCTCGTTCTTGTACCAGATCCCTTGGGATTGGAGCTGCTCTGGCCTGCGGCTAGGCATTTGAGCGCCTCTGTCTCTGCCTTGCTTCATAGCAGCTGCTGTGCTGAACACCGCTCTCCCGGCACCTGTACAAGCCGCCCCACCGGCCCAGGCCTCCTCGCCCGCCCAGCCCCGACCACCGGCCCAGCCCCAGACGCTGTTCCAGCCCCAGCCACTGCTGCAGACCACACCGGCCATTCTACCACAGCCCACTGCTGCCACCGCCACTGCCCCCACCCCCAAGTCTGTGGACACCCCCACACAGATCACCGTTCAGCCCGCAGGCTTCGCATTCAGCCCGGGAATCGTAAGCTGCTGCCCTCACCCAAGGCTCACCAGGGATGGACCGGATCTCTGGTCAAGGGTGAACCTGACCCTTGCCACGGGGGAGTATGGAGGTGGAGGACCAGCCCCTTGAATGCGGCTCTTTTCCAACACTTCGGCAGAGATGGGCTCCTTCCAAGGCAGCTGTCAGCCCATGCATCCCAGCCAAGAGCAAACAACCTCTGCCAAGAGGGCTGGCCCAACCTTCCAGAACCTGGACCGTGGACCAGCCTTGGAGGGTGGGATGATGTCTGGGGATTGCAAACTTGTGAGCCGCTGCTAAAGTGGCGCTAGAGGCTCACGGCCCCATGCCAGTGTCTATCCAGCGTGGCTCCTGGCTTGGTAGTAGAGCTGTTAGGCATGAATAGATGGCCTCTAGTTAGATGTGGCTAGAGTCCCATCAGCCCCTCCAGCCTGGCCCTTCTACTCTCCCAGGGCTGGCCTGAAAGATTAGCCAGAGTTACTCCTCCATGACTGTGGCCCCGCCCTTCCCTGCTTACCTCCTGCAGCCCCTGGCCCTGGGTACCATTCAGTTGGTGGACTTGGGCTTGCAGCCCACACTCGTATCTGCCCAGCATCGGTTACCCCCCACCCCTGTCCCAATACCCTCAGCCCTCGTCCCTCTGCCTTGGGCTCTTTCTCGCCCGTTGCCTCTGAGCAAGGCTCTTCCTCCACCCACAGATCAGTGCTGCCTCCCTCGGGGGACAGACCCAGATCCTGGGCTCCCTCACCACAACTCCGGTCATTGCCAACGCCATTCCCAGCATGCCGGGGATCAGCAGTCAGATTCTCACCAACGCTCAGGGTCAGGCAAGTGGTCAAAGCCAGGCGGAGGGGTGGGGACCGTGGAGATGCTGGCTCTGGGGGAGGGCACATGCGTGGGAGGATTGGGTCATAGAAACTCAACCAGGGTGAGACGCTGCTGTTCATTATTGCCTGTGTGACTGCTCTCTGCTGACACTGAGGCCAGGCGGGGGCATAGCCCCCACCCCAACCCTGGGTTGGGTGCTCACTCTAGTTGGGGGTTTTCATTTAGGCAGCCCTTGCTTTGTGGCCAGGTTCTGTGCTAGGTGCTTTCTCGTACATTATCCCACTTCATTCTGAGTACAACCTGTTGGGTGGAGATTTTTGTTCCCATTTTACAGGGGAAAAGGCTAAGGTTTGGAGAAATTAAGCTAGTTAAAGTGTGGCAGAGCAGGGCTTCACGTGTAGACCCACTCCTGCTCCCTCAAGGCTCTGGAGAATAGAGAAGCAGCCCCTAGGGTGTGAATCCTTCACTTTACTTTAAGGACACTTAGGCCTAGAAGGGTTAGGTGACTTGTCTAAGTCCCTTCCTGCCAGTGTGGGGATTTGGGTTGGGGGTGGAGCTGGACGCTGCCCTCACACGTGGGGTCCCTGTGTTTCCTCCCAGGTTATTGGAACACTTCCTTGGGTAGTGAACTCGGCTAGCGTGGCGGCCCCAGCACCGGCCCAAAGCCTGCAGGTCCAGGCTGTGACCCCCCAGCTGTTGTTGAACGCCCAGGGCCAGGTGATCGCGACCCTGGCCAGCAGCCCCCTGCCTCCTCCTGTGGCTGTCCGGAAGCCAAGCACTCCTGAGTCCCCTGCTAAGAGTGAGGTACAAGGGCTGGGTTGGGGGAGGGTGGCAGGCAGTGCTGTCAGGCATGAGCGGCCTCCCTCCAGAGGGTGGGTAGGACAACATTATTTTCCAAAGTCCCTGGGAAAGCAGGACACCTCCCCAAAGTGGAGGGAGGTGCAAGGTAGAAGGTCCCTTCAGTTCACATGTGCTCTGCCCGGAAAAACACCACCACCACCCCGACCCCATCCCCCCACACACCAAACATGTGTATATGTGCCCTCAGAGGCCAGTGCCACTCTGAGAAGGCCAGGGAAGGGTAGTCAAAGTAAACTGGGCCTTGGGACTTCCCTGGTGGTTCAGTGCTTAAGACTCTGTACTTCCAATTCAGGGGACACAGGTTCGATCCTCGGTAGGAGAACTAAGATCCCACATGCTGCAGGGTGAGGCCAAAAAAAAAAAGTTAATTGGGACTCAATCAACTCCAGGGTGAACAAACTGCTGGAAAGGCCCTGGGAGGTTCATTCTGCACCCGCCTCCTCTTCACCCCTTCATCCCTCCACCCCTCCTCCACTCTGCACTGTGGCATCGTTATTCACTCACGTGTTCATTCTAGGAGTGGTTTTTGAGTGCCTACTGTATTCTAGTGCTGAAGATACAGAGATGAATAAGATGCCCTTCCTTGCCTTAGGTAGCCCAGCATCACAGACAATTAAAGTCAGTGTGGCAAAGGCTCTGATAGGGGCAGGATAAGGTGCTTTAGGAACTCAGTCTGCTGACTGAGGAGTTTGACAAGGCTTCACAGAGCACGACACTGAACTAATCTAAAGGGATGGGTTGGATGAGAGATTTTTCTACTTCCACAGAACTGCAGGCAGTAGAGTGTGCCAGAGCAGGGGTTCTCAAACTTTAGTGTGCCGAAGAACACCTGGAGGGCTGGCTAGGATGCAGATTTCCAGGCCCCACCTTGGAGTCTCATACAGTAGGTCTGGAGTGGGGCTGAAGGAGTCACATCTCTAACAAGTTCCTAGGTGATGTTGAGGCTTGTGGTTCTCAAATGTGATATGCTGCTTCCCAACTTCATTGAATAACCTCAGCCTCATCTATAGAAGGAGAAGGCAATGGCAACACACTCCAGTACTCTCGCCTGGAAAATCCCATGGACGGGGGAGCCTGGTGGCCTGCCGTCTATGGGGTCACACAGAGTTGGACACGACTGAAGCGACTTAGCAGCAGCAGCATCTGTAGAATGGGAATGATAAGAGTACCAACTTAAGTTATGAATGTTAAAGGATATATTACACAGAAAGTTGGTACACAAAGTGAAATGTGTGTAAAATGTGTAAAAAATGGTGCTTTTATTGTTATCACTAACATTAGGTAACGGGGAGTCACCGGAGAGATCTTAGCAGGGAAGTGGCTAGTTATATGTGTATTTTAAAAATTCCCTTTGCTCTCCAGGTGGAGCCGAGAATTGGACTGTGGTGAGACTTGAGTCCTATTTGTTGTTGTTGTTCAGTCACTCAGTCGGGTCTGACTCTTTGCAACCCCATGGCCTGCAGCACGCCAGGCTTCCCTGTCCTTCACCATCTCCCAGAGTTTGCTCAAACTCATGTCCATTGAGTTGGTGATGTCATCCAACCATCTCATCCTCTGTCGCCCCCTTCTCCTTCTGCCCTCAATCCTTCCCAGCATCAGGGTCTTTTCCAGTGAGTCGGCCCTTCGCATTAGGGAGCCAAAATGTCAGGGCTTCAGCTCCAGCGTCAGTCCTTCCAGTGAATATTCAGGGTCAATTTCCTTTAAGCTTGACTGGTTTGATCTCCTTGCTGTCCAGGGGACTCTCAAGAGTCTTCTCCAGCACCACAATTCAAAGACATCAATTCTTTTGCCCTCAGCTATTAGGAGACAGCTTAAAGAATTCTAGCCAGAGACAAGGAGCTCCAAACAAGGCCCTGGGGATGATGAGGGAATGATTTTAAGCTACCAGGAGGCAGAATTCAGGGAACAAGGCCCATCCTAGAGAAATCTGCACTTTCAGGAAGCTTAAAAAAAAGTCATACTTCAGATACTGACTTCATATATTTATAGTTTATCCTGATTGTAAACATGATATAAGCTGTTTATTAAAATTCCAACATTATGTATGATGTCAAAAAGTAAAAATCCCTTCTAACTCCACTTCCAGAGATGACTTCTGTTGATACTTTGCTTTATATGACTCCAGAATTTTTTTTCTTGGAGATTCGTATTTTTTTTTTAAGGGATTATTCCATAAAAATTGTTTTTCACCTTACTTTTTTTTTTCTTTCACTTAGAACTGTGACTCAGAGGTCTTTCCATGGCAGTTAGTAAGAGATATTCTTTTTCATGGTACAGTGTCTTACTGTAGTGAGGCCCCAAAAGTCATTTGCCAGTTACCTATTAATGGATATGGGATTTTCCCGGTGGTTCCGAGGTAAAGCATCTGCCTGCAATGCAGGAGACACAGGGGACACTGGTTCAGTCCCTGGGTGGGGAAGATCCCCTGGAGGAGGGCATGGCAAGCCACTCCAGTATTCTTGCCTGGAGTGTCCCATGGACAGAGGAGCCTGGTGGGCTACAGTCTATATGGTTGCACAGATTCAGAAACGACTGAAGCGACTTAGCATACATGCTCACACGCATTAATGGATATTTGGGGTGTGGTGGCTCTAGGATCAGATTTAGGTTTCTCCTTTGAGGGCAGAGACTTGAGAGCAGTTATCTCAAGGGTGGATACTTGGAGCTTTAACCAAGTAGGTGGAACCTTTCTGAGCCTCTGACCTGCCTGGGTCACAGACACCCACAAGGCCCCGGCTCGGTGGGGCACATCCTGTGCTTATTCTGGAGGTCATCATCACTGGGTACGTGCTAATACATAGCTTCCAATCTTGCCTTCTGATGGGGCACAGGTAAAAGTGTGCTGGGTGAGGGAGGATTCCATGCCCGCTTTTGCCCTGCCTCTGGACTGCCCAGAGACTTCACCCTGCTAGCCAGGCAGGCGGGCAGTGGGGGTTTGTTGGCTCTTCTTCTCACAGGTGCAGCCCATCCAGCCCACACCAGCCATGCCCCAGCCGGCCGTGGTCATCGCCAGCCCAGCCCCAGCGGCCAAGCCTGCTGCCTCTGCTCCCATCCCCATCACCTGCTCAGAGACCCCGACGGTCAGCCAGCTGGTGTCCAGTAAGTGGCTCCAAGGGAAGGGTATGGCGAAGGGGTGAGGCATTTATTCAGACACCCTGACCACATTAGATGATGCTCCCCTTAGTAAACTTTCGGGAGTCCAAAAGGGAAGAGCAGAGGCCCATTGCCAGGAACTGACTTTCTTATTCTCATTCTACGGAGCTGGATTCTGTGCATGACCATGGTGGAGGCTGCTTAGCGGGCTGTCTGGCTGCTTCTCTGAGAAGCCAAACCATTGGCTGTCTCTCCTATGGTCTCTCACCAGTATTTGAAGAATGTGGAGAGCTAACAGGTGTGCGTGGGGCCAGCCTGGGGAGAATTAGAGACGGTCAACAGTTAGAGCTGGAAGAACTTAAAATAGACCTCTATCTCCAGACACCTTGGTCCTGGCCCATTGCTCCCAAGTCTTATTTGTCTTGGGGGCAGGAATGATGAGGGTCTTAAGGGTACACAGGCCTTTTGTCAAATGTCCTGATCCCTCACTACTCACCAGGCTAGGCCAACGGGCTGGGTAAGCAGATGATTGTCCGTCTTACACACTCACTCCTGCCCCCTTCCTCTGGCCTAGAGCCACATACCCCGAGTCTGGATGAGGACGGGATCAACTTAGAAGAGATCCGGGAGTTTGCCAAGAACTTTAAGATCCGGCGGCTATCCCTGGGCCTCACACAGACCCAGGTGGGTCAGGCTCTGACTGCAACGGAAGGCCCAGCCTACAGCCAGTCAGCCATCTGCCGGTGAGTAAGACTGCCTGAACAAGGTCAGGACACTCACAGGAGCTCAGGTATCTGGCACTTAGACATGAACACCTGCAGTAGTCAGAGTCTTTCTGGGGCCCTCTGAAGTTTATCCTCTAATCCTGAGCATTTGTATTGTCTGTTTAGGAGGAATCCAAGATCCTAATCCAGTTAGGAATCCTAGAGAGACAGGGGTACAGCTTATGAAATTAATCACAAGAGTGGGAACTTCGGTTCTGGCTTGGTTCTCAACTATAACCCACCATCACCTCTATCATGCTTCCACCTCCCCCTCTTATGAGACATGATTCTGAAGTGATGTAACTGACTTTTCTGTGTGCAGGTTCTGGTGCCTGTATTATAATTGATTGTAAAGTGTAAATCAACTATTTCAATTTTTTTAAATGGTGAAAAGAAAGATAAAAAGCACATCCCTAACCTAAGCCATTTTTTTCGAAAAAGCACATGGCTTAGGGATGGCCAAAAGGTTTCATCTGCTTGCCAACTCTATATATTAGACTAGAGTGATTATTATGCTACAGTGTCATGTTGGGAATTCTGTACTCTCATCTGGGCTCAGCCAGAAAGAGTATTCTGACTTAGTGATGCTGCAGTTGGAGGAAGACAGCACTTAGGACATCTATTTGCCATCTTTGGAGGCCTCTCAACATGATTCCTCAAAGGACCTCACCCATTTGGGTGTGAACGTTTTGGAATGATGTTCATAAAGCAGCTGCCCTGTTATCATTGCACTGTAAACTGAGGCCATGGGAATGGTCTCCCTGTTGTGACCTGGGAGACAGGACACTCTGAGGAGTCTGGGCTGGGCCAAGCCAGGGGGTCTTAGTGAGGGTTGTAAGGGGACAGGAGGAGCAGCCCCCTGCGGCCAGCACACGCCCAGGGTGGGGAATAAGACACTGTCCCTGTCCCTTCCTGGACCTGGGTCACCCACAGGTTTGAGAAGCTGGACATCACGCCCAAGAGCGCCCAGAAGCTGAAGCCGGTGCTGGAGAAGTGGCTACATGAAGCTGAACTCCGGAACCAGGAAGGTCAGCAGAACCTGATGGAGTTTGTGGGAGGCGAGCCCTCCAAGAAACGTAAGCGCCGCACCTCCTTCACCCCCCAGGCCATAGAGGCTCTCAATGCCTACTTCGAGAAGAACCCACTGCCCACAGGCCAGGAGATCACCGAGATTGCAAAGGAGCTCAACTATGACCGGGAGGTTGTGCGGGTCTGGTTCTGCAACCGGCGCCAGACACTCAAGAACACCAGCAAGCTGAACGTCTTTCAGATCCCTTAGGGCTCAGCCCCAGCCCTGCGTCCCAGCACTTTGTACCTCCCTTGGGCATCCGGCTCCGGCTGCCACCCTGCGGCATCTCTCATTCTGCTGCCCGTGGCTGTGTTTGTCCTGGGTTGTGAGACTCCATCGTGCACCTATGTGTCAGCTGCCTCCCTCCTCTTCCCCGTGTCATCTGCATCCCAGGGAGGGCAGTGGGCCCCACCTGAGACCTCCAGGTTTGGGGCTGGTCATGCCGAAGGAGGGGATTTGTCGTGTCACTTAAAGAAGCACTTTGCTGATGTGGGTTTTTGAAGGGTGAATTCTGGCTGGGAACCAGAGGCTCCCCATCTTTGGGACGGGGCTGTAGTAGCCTCTAGGACCACTGGCCATTAGCTCTTGTGTTTGATGGCACTCTCTCCATTGTCTCTTCTCTGTTCCTCTGTGTGAGCGTGGCAGGTACAGCGGCTCATCCAGTGGAACCACAGCCTCACCTACCTGCCCTCTGCCTGCAGTCACACGGTCCCCCAACAAAATCCAAGAGATCTTGTTCTGAAAAGTGTGATGTGATGTGCAGCTCAGAAAGTCAGATTCCATGTATGCCTCGACCTCAAGGTCAGAAGGTTTCCACAGACCTGGGGCCAGAACACATGATCACTCCCATCTCTCCTTGGCTCCTATGTAGGGAAAATTGCACTAAAGCAGAATTCTTTCTTTTATACATCATGTCGGAAGAAATCAGCAGTGAACTCTAGCTGTCCTGGAATTGACCTGGGTCTATAGCAGGTTGTGAAGTGAAAGTCACTCATTTGTATCCAACTCTTTGCGACCCATGGACTGTATAGTCTGTGGGATTCTCCAGGCCAGAATACTGGAGTGGGTAGCCTTTCCCTTCTTCAAGGGATCTCCCCAACCCAGGGATCAAACCCAGGTCTCCTGCACTGCAGACGGATTCTTTACCAGCTAAGCCAGCAGATTGGGAACTTGATAAATACAGTATCTCTCCCAGATTTTAATCTGATCTCTGACCATGTCCATCTCCGCATCAGAATGATGTGGTTAAGAGAACTTGCAGCCTGGAAAATCCCCCTGCCCAGATAAGCAGGGACTCGAGGGAAAAAAAAAAATGAGGAAAGGAATGCTAAGTCTCTCTTGCCCTCACACTCACCTCCCACCCAGTCCTGGGTTCTTCTCAGAAGCAGCAAGTGAAACGACACCAGACAGAAAGGTCCTGGGAAAAGCCCACATCCATAAAGAGCTGACAGCAGCCTGGGAAGGTCCTTTGTGGAAGGTGACTTAACTAATTTCCTTTGTAACTTGCAGTCTTGGATACCAGAGGAGAAATCTAATTTTGTCCAGAGTCTTAGACCATGTGTTTGTGTGAACAAGCCCCCTAGAGTGCTTCTGAGTTAAGAACACCCCTAGAGCAGGCTGGGTTATGCCTTCAGAGAGGGTGTCTGTGGTACACTGGAGCTTGGCATCTCATGCAAGATGTTCAGTGAGTTTCCCAGCCTCCCTGCAGCTGGGTGTCCCCTGGAACTCAGTATGTGACTTGGGGAGATCAGGAGGGCACTGGGAGGTTTGCTAGAGGCGCCCAGACTTGCTATGTAGACTAAACTTAAAGGTCACACACAAGTCACAGGGGTCAAGCGCCCCCACCTTTCACAGCTCCTGTCCTTACAGAACCTGGTCTCTAGCAGCTGCCCTCCAATACCCCTCACACGATAAACCCTGAAGAAGTGACTGCCACGTGAGGGCATGTTACCACTTCCTTGGGACACTGGTGCAGAGCCCAGCCTTGCTTCCTCTGGCAGACTGGGTTTCCTTTCCTACCTGAAGCTGGTGCATCCCAGGCCTCTCAGGGCCACCGGGCCATCGTCTTGGTGGCCCTGCCAGTGAGAGGGCAGTTGTGTGTCAAATTGCCACATACACGCACACACACTCCACACCACTGCATTCTGACCAACCAGACTTGCTCACGTGTGGTGGGGGATGAGGAAGCAGGTGGGCACCTCGCTTGCCGCAGCCTCCCAGCAGAGAATACGTCTCCAAGGATAAGGCTGCACGCTCAAGTTCAAGGTTATCCACCCGACTCAATGAGGTGACAGGCTCACTTGAGAGGGGTACTTGAGAGAGGTGGTAAACAAGTTTTCAGTGAGAATCAAGTACCAGAGTTTGTGAAGGATTCAGTGACTTACAGTTCAATAAATTAGAGAGATACAGGTTTTTACCCTCAAGCCTGTGCATTCAGATATGCTTTCTTTCTTGGGAGAGACAAGTGGGTCATGCCTGGTGCATACAGGAGTAGCATGTGATCCAGGGCGTGTCCATGGCAGTGGATATGCAGGAGGACACCATCTGTCCTGTGTCACGGCAGGAAAAAAACTGCTCTAAATTAGGCCTGGACATGCTTTCTTAGCTCCTCCCGCATCTAAATCTGTCTTCTCAAGGCTGGGCTAGAACGAAAACTTTTCTTCTGCTGGAATGATGGGTTGGTCTTTCAGAGAAACAAGCCCGGGGGGAGGGGGGCCAGAGTGTTTGCAAGCTGAATTCCCCAGGCAGGGGCTATGGGGTGTCTCTGAAGTACGCACACAGCAGAGCTCACCAACCTGATCTCTGCTCTTACTGCCCCACCATAGGGCCCCCTGGAAGCAGCTATGGCCCTGAGGTGGGGTTTTGTTTTGTTTATATCCTTGTTAGGAGCAGCATCAGACTCTGAAGGGAGTTGATACTGATTTTGTTTTAAAAGCGCCTTTCTGGTTACCAGCCAGAGCTCAGTGGCTCCTTTGCCATGGAAAGGCAGGCGAAAGGGCAGAAAAAGCTTCAGTGTTTGCATGTGGTTTTGTTTTTGTTTCAAAGACCAAAATGTTCTGTGGCTTAATGAATCGGCTGGGGCCTTTGACCCTGCACTAATCATGGCATTTTATCCAAGTGGGGTTCAGGGAGAGAACTCAGCCAAGTGAATTAAAGAACCTGTTTGAATTTGGAATGAGAGACCCTGGCTTTTTTGTGTGTCCTTGGAAATCCAATCACCTTCCTATGCCTAGATTCCCTTCCTGTCTCACAGGCCAGGCTCTGACACCGAGGTTCTAACTGTTCCCAGACATGGACAAAGTCTGCTGAGAGCTGGAGTGAGGTGGGGGGTGGGGGAGAATGGGGGGAGGGGGCAAGCACTCGGTGTAGTTGTGTGGAATAAACAGTATTTTTTCTTTTGTACTGGTCTGCTTGTTTCTCTTTTACCTCTCAGAGTGATGTAAGAAAATCAGGGTCAGAGACCAGAGGATGAGCTGCCTTTGCTGGCAGAGCTTGTGGCCTGGAAAATCCCATTGCAAGAGGAGGAGGATCAGTGCCCTGGACTCCTACTTCCCTGCCATGATCTCCCTATGGGGTACAGGGTCAAGGGGATGTGACCTTTTTCTTTCCAGATCACCCCTGATACCTAGGACCCCAGAATTTCCTACCAAGGGGGCAGCTGTTTGTCAGAAAGCTGGGTGGATAGAGCTTGGCTGTGCAGGCTGGATGCCTCTACATATGCACAAAGCCCTTTATGGCATGAGGTGGAGCTGTGAGGGGGTTAAGAGGAGGCAGGCTGGGGGCCAGGACTGAGGCACATTCTAGCATAGAACTTCAGGGAATCCTAGAAGTCCAAATTCAAACCTGGCCTTCTGGGTCATTATGAAGTTATGCTTATCATGATGAGAGGCTAGAATAGTCACAAGTAGGTTGATTTATGCTTTTCCTGGAGAAGGGTATGGCAACCCACTCCAGCATTCAGGCCTGGAGAATCCTGTGGACAGAGAGCCCGGCAGGCTACATTCCATAGGGTCACACAGAATCAGACCTGACTGAAGCAACTTAGCATGCACCCACATGCTTTATAAATATTTAGATATGGTAAGACTGCAGATAGTGACTGCAGCCATGAAATTAAGAGACGCTTACTCCTTGAAAGGAAAGTTATGACCAACCTAGACAGCATATTAAAAAGCAGAGACATTACTTTGCCAACAAAGGTCCATCTGGTCAAGGCTATGATTTTTCCAGTGGTCATGTATGATGTGAGAGTTGGACTGTGAAGAAAGCTGAGCGCCGAAAAATTGATGCTTTTGAACTGTGGTGTTGGAGAAGACTCTTGAGAGTCCCTTGGACTGCAAGGAGATCCAACCAGTCTATCCTAAAGGAGATCAGTCCTGGGTGTTCATTGGAAGGACTGATGCTGAAGCTGAAACTCCAGTACTTTGGCCACCTGATGCGAAGAGTTGACTCATTGGAAAAGACCCTGATGCTGGGAAGGATTGGGGGCAGGAGGAGGAGGGGATGACAGAGGATGGGATGGCTGGATGGCATCACCAACTCGATGGGCATGAGTTTGAGTAAACTCTGGGAGTTGGTGATGGGCAGGGAGGCCTGGCGTGCTGCGATTCATGGGGTCGCAAAGAGTCGGACACAACTGAGGGACTGAACTGAACTGAACTGAAGAGGATCTTCCTTTGTACTGTTTCCCAGGCCAACAAATATTATGAGCAGGCCCCCCCCACAAGTTCAGAACTGGGAAAGTATGGCTGTAAAAAGGGTCTCCCTCCTAGGAGTAGGGTTCATACCATACCTCCCTGCAACTCTCCCTCCCCCCATCCCCCTGCCCCATCTTCTTGGTATTGATGAGGTCTGGGCTACATAATCTAAACTGGTGAGAACAAGGCATCACCTTTGATTCCACCCAACCAGAATTCCTGAGTCAGGCACTGTGTTGGGTTCTAAATCATGCTTTACCATCCCTTCCCCACCCAAAGGACAAGAGATGTCTAAGATACTGATGTTAGGTTTGGGGATCAGAGGCACTTTACAGGACTTTGAGATAATGAGGCCAAAATGACACAGAAACCAGCACTTGTCTGCATAGATCTCACGATCCTAATACTGACTGTCTACACTAGGCTGTTACTCAGGACGCAGGCCAAGGGCACAAAACAGGTGCTTGATAAATAGAAGACAGATGACTGAATGCATTTTCTACCCACTTTTTCAAGGAAATCCTAAGAGCTGAGTCCCTGACTTCAAGCTACTGGGAGAAAGCAGGTTCAGAGGCTTCGGTAGTAGCACTACAAGGTTTAGACTGTGACTCATGGGAGTGAATGGAATCTGGGCAGCGACTGGCCCTGAATGCAGACATGCATCTCCCAACAACTCCTGGCAGAAGCATCAGCGGAAGCTGTTATCTCTGGCTCAGACCAGTTGAGGGTATTTCCTGGCAACTGGCCCCAGAAGGCTTTAAAGGAAGAGGGGTGGGTGTGTGGAGGGACTGCAGTTTCTACTGTCGAGTTCCAGATGTTCCTCTGGGTTCCTGACCCCATGTGTGTGTGTGTGTGTGTGTGTGTGTGTGTGTGTGTGTAGGCTTCCCCACATCAGCAAGCAATTCTCAGATACTAGCAGTGTATCCAAATATTCAACTCAATTCTGACATTATCTACCTAAAGATGGCATCAGATTCCACAGGTAAAGGGCTCTGTTCACTTCAGATGCCTTTTCTCTCAACTGCAGGGTCCATCAAAGAAGCCAGACTGGGACTCAAAGTTTCTTCGTATGGAATGTAGGAAGACATGAAGAGTTAAAACTAGATAGTTCCTGAAAGGGCCAGCCTGGATAATGATCTCTTCCTGTACCTGGAGGAAAATGCCTGGTAATTGACTTGGGACCTCAGCAACAGTGACTGACTTTTAAATGAATGAGAAAGGAAGCCCAGGGGATGGATAGGTACGGATCCTCCAGAGAGCTTGAGCCCTCAAGCTTCTGACCCCTGGTGGCTCAGATCGTAAAGAATTTGCCTGCAGTGTGGGAGACCTGTGTTGGATTCCTGGGTCGGGAGGATCCCCTGGAGAAGGAAATGGCAACCCACTCCAGTATTCTTGCCTGGAGAATTCCATGGACAGAGGAGCCTGGCGAGCTACAGTCCATGGGGTCACAGAGTCAGACACGACTAAGCAACTAACACAGACAAGGAATTGAGGCGCAGAGAATATGAGGCATCTACTAAGGGTTGCTTTGTTTGTGAGCAACAGAACTAGGCCTTAAATCAAGATGTGCTGTCTCTAAAGCCTGTGTGGTTAACTTTGTCCCATACAGGATGGGACCTGGGGAGTGCTATCTATCCCAATCTTTTGGGTAGGATTTCCACGTTTCCACCCTCTAGGGTAGGTCTTGCTGTGTTCCATCTAAACAGTGTTTAGTTTCAGGACCTAGTCTAGGGAAATGAACCCTTTACAATGGGCCCAATGGTTCAGAATACTGAATTTGGAGCTCTGGGCCACAGATGTTCTGGTTAATTACTCAAATTTATTATGAGTAATGGCCTAATAGGAACCATGATTTTTGTTATGGGCACAAAATTTTTATTTCTTGTTGGATGCTGCTGGATATCCAGAGGAACACCTGATGATCTTTTCTTGGAGGCAAAGCTCCCAGGACTGCCCCTGGAATTCCTGTTTCCAGGCCTGGCATTCCAACTTCATGAATAGTTACATTGGAGAAGGAGAAAATGGGGAAAGTCCACTCCCTGGGGTAAAAGTGTTTACCCCTGAAATGTGACTCAGATGGTAAAGAATCCACCTGCAATGCAGGAGACCTGGGTTTGATCCCTGGGTTGGGAAGACCCCCGTGGAGAAAGGAAAGGCTTACCCACTCCAGTTTTCTGGCCTGGAGAATTCCATGGACTGTGTAGTCCATGAATCACAAAGAGTTGGACACGACTGAGAGACTTTCAATTTATTTCACTTTCTGAAAGTCACAGAATTCCAGGGGTAAACACTGTCTGATGTCTTCTCCCCGCAGGTGGAACTGGGCTCAAGGACCAACTAGCTCAATGCTACTCTGTACTCCAGCTGGAATGGAGGGGCCAAGCTTTAGGACTCACTTTTCATTTCACCTCTGTTTTAGAATGGCAAGGAGGACCTTTGTGAAGTCTTTGTTTTGGTTCAGAATTAAAACTTAACCTCAAACCTTTCCAAGAAATATATGTATTTCTTTTTTCTAAGTATTTCCCAGAGGACAGGGCTCCATGGGATTTCTGGATATGGCTATGTCTTCCAAATATCTAATATGGTTTTCTTCCAGATATTAAGGTAAATATCTCTTGTTTTATTTTAATATTTATTTATTTAGGCATGCGGGATTTTTATTTATTTATTTGGCTGCACTGGGTCTTCGTTGCTGTGCCAGGCTTTCTCTAGTTATGGCGAGTGGGGGCTACTTTTCATTGCAGTGCACAGGCTTCACATTATAGTGGCTTCTCTTGTTCTGGAGCACAGGATCTAGGCATACAGGCTTCAGTAGTTGGAGCTTGAGGGCCCAAGAGCGCTGGCTTGGTAGTTGTGGAGCACCGGCTTAGTTGCTCCATGTCATGTGGAATCTTCCCAGACCAGGGATTGAACCCATGCCCCTGCATAGGCAGGCGGATTCTCATCCACTGAACCACCAGGGAGGTTCCTCTTTGTTTTATGCTTCAATCTGTTCCCTTTGAGCTATTTTACTGTTGATAAATCATACTTCATCCAACGTTCCTTCCTGGAAACAAGTTTTTGAAAATTCAATATTCTCCTCTCCACAGATTCAAACTTCATCTCTGAAAGGAAGAAAGGATGGAAAGTTAATTTTTTTAAAGGTTATAACTATCCATAGGGGTGTGGCACCATGGTTAGATGCCCAGAGTGTAAGGTTAGTCAGTCAGACTTTACCACTGGGTGATCCTGGACAAGTCAATTAGTTTTTCTAAGCCTCAGTTTCCTTATCTATGAAATGAATCTAAAAGTAGTACCTTCCTTACAGGGGTGATGTTGGGAGGATGAAATGAGATAACCTACACAAAGCATCTAGTCAGGGCTTGGTACCTAGCAAAGGCTCAGTAAATAGTAGTCTGTCATTATTATTAGCTATTATTTGCTCTGTATCTGTACAGTTCCCAGGACTGTACCACCAGCAGGGAGGCATCACTGTAGGCAAAGGCCAGCTAAGAGAATTAGGGACTCGGACTGTAGTTCCTGGCTCAGATGCTAATTTATGTAATATTTGTTACATATTCAGGAATACATTTTTTGGTAAGTTATGAAAAATAATGATGAAACAATAACCCATGGAGTTACCATTCAACTTGTATAAACTACTACCATGGGTTAAAGCTACTTTTGAGTTCCTCCCCTAGCCCACTCATTGCCTTTCCTTAGATGTGCTCCTGCTCAGTCACTTCAGTCATGTCCGACTCTCTGCAACCCCATGGACCACAGCCCGCCAGGCTCCTCTGCCCATGGGATTCTCCAGGCAAGAATGCTGGAGTGGGTTGCCATTTCCATCTCCTGTGACAAAGTATGAAGTGAATGAAGTGAAGTCACTCAGTCATGTCGGACTCTTTGCGACCCCATGGACTGTAGCCGACCAGGCTCCTCCGTCCATGGGATTTTCCAGGCAAGAGTACTGGAGTGGGTTGCCATTTCCTTCTCCATCTTAGATGTGACCATTTATTAGTAGAAATAAAGCTGAGCACTGAAGAATTGATACTTTTGAACTGTGGTGTTGGAGAGACTCTTGAGAGTCCCTTGGACTGCAAGGAGATCCAACCAGTCTATCCTAAAGGAGATCAGTCCTGAATATTCACTGGAAGGACTGATGGTGAAGCTGAAACTCGAATAATTTGGCCACCTGATGTGAAGAACTGACTCACTGGAAAAGACCCTGATGCAGGGAAAGATTGAAGGCTGGAGGAGTAGGGGACAACAGAGGATGAGATGGTTGGATGGCATCACTGACGCGATGGACATGAATTTGAGTAGGCTCTGGGAGTTGGTAATGGATGGGAAAGCCTGGTGTGTTGTGTTTATCATTTCATTCCTTTTAAAAGGAACACCTATGTATGTATAATCCCCCAAATGATATATCATTTAATTTTGCTGGGTTTTGAGCTTTATAAAGTGATGTTATACTGTATGAGCATTTCTGCCTTTCTCCCACAATTCTAAGACTAATTTATTTCTGTATTTGCATATAGCTGTATTCATGTTCACTGCTGTATAATAATCTGTTACACTCCAACTCATCCTTTCTCTTGTTGGCAGACATTTGTTCTGTTTTGTTGCTATAAATAGTGCTGCCATGAACATTCTCATACAAGTTTCCTGGTGTGTGTGTGTAAGAGTTCTCTAGTGTATATATGAAGAGTGGAGTTGCTGAATCACAGAATAATTTTCAGGACAATTTCTAAAGAGGTCTGCAGAGAACACAGGTTCCATCCCTGGTGGGGAAACTAAGATACCACATGCCACGTGCCCCCCAAAATTATAAAGCTCTGTTTATAAAGGATTTTGATTATGACACCTCTCTGAGTTCAAGACCCCTTCCTTTACACACAAACACATATATTTTGAGATACAACTGGCTCAAGGAAAGAAAAAAAAATGTCTTGAAGAGATATTAAATGTCTTGAGAATGAACCAAGACTTGGATGCTAGGCTTACTAAAGTAAGAAGATGGATAAGACAGAGCCCTCAAAGATAGAAGACTCTAGTTGAAACTGGAAGCATGCTGTCAACCTCATCTCAACCTCTTTTCTTTCTATCTTTCCTTTTTTAAATTCAATAAGCATTAAAAAAAAAAGCCCTATTGAATATAGGAAATATACTAGGAGATATTTAGAACACAAACTTGAAAAATATATATTCTCTTTTCTTTAGGTCATACTAGTGATAAAGGGGCTTCCCTAGTGGCTCAGATGGTAAAGCGTCTGCCTACAATGCGGGAGACCTGGGTTTGATCCCTGGGTCGGGAAGATTCTCTGGAGAAGGAAATGGCAACCCACTCCATACTCTTGCCTGGAAAATCCCATAGACAGAGGAGCCCGGTAGGCTACAGTCCATGGGGTCGGAGAGTCGGACACGACTGAACGACTTCACTTCACTTCACTAGTGATAAAGGCATCTATCTACTTGAATCTATCTATCGCAAGACATTGTACAAATTAAATACTTGAATACAGTAATGAACCAACACTTTCATACAGGCAATGTCTTGTAGTGAAAATTATAACTTTATAATAAAATTATCACATAATTTTACAATCCACTCTGAGATTGGCACCCCAATTTAGTTCTGGCGAATTTAAGGCTTCAGCCTCCTCTCCTTATTGGAAAAATGAAGGTCATTAATACTTACATTTAGAATTGTAAATTAATTACAATTGCTTTCAGGATTATTGATAATGTAAAAAAGTTCCTTGTATATAGTTGATGCTCAAGAAACAATGGACATTATTATTTAAACCTCAAAAGAGGAAGATGGAGCACGTGGAAGAAGGTGGAGCACGTATGGTTTTATCCCCATTTTTCAAACATAAAAAAGCTATATCTAGGTAAGATCAAACGACTTACTATTCTGGTCACGAAGCCAGACTCCAGCACAAATCCTCATTTTTAGATCACCACCTTTTAAAAACCACAATACTTTCACCCATCTCATGCTTTCCTGTTGAAAGGCATTAAAGGAGAATTCGGAAGATAAAAAGACTATCCAGGTAAGTGTAACTTAAGTAGGTTCTTGACCCCAGGAGAGGTGAGTTTAAGGAGAGAGTATTTAGAAGCATACAACCACTTGTTAGGAGTGTTTGGGTAACAAACAAGAGTCAGCCAGGGGTGGGTGTAGGTCCAATAAGACTAGAGTCAGAGCTCCACCCAGGCCTTATGGTTTTGACTAGCTACTTAGCGGACGCCAGAAGCCCGGGAACAACTAGGAAAGACGTTTAAACCCGACCACCTGACGCACGCCCAGTCCTCTCCTAGGTCGCCCAGTCCATCTCAGGAGGCGGAGAGCCGTGGCGTCGCTAGCCTATCATCATTGCCAAGGTCAGCGGAGTCGATTCTTAATTGGCTAATGTTAGGGTGACGTCACACTCGCCGCTCCGGCGAAGGAAGAGGACGCCATGATTGGTTGGCGCTGGGACGGCGGGCGGTGGAGGAGCCTGGCCAGTCTGGGTTTCAAACCGGTGCTGGGCTTTCTCCATCCATGTTTTGAGGCCGTGGGGGGCAGCGGAGGGCGGGGAGTCGGCTCAGTGGAAACCTGGATTTGGTTCTAAGAGCCGTGGAATTGAGAAGAATTGACCGGAAGTGTCTTGGGACTGACCGGAAGCGAGGCCTGGAGGGGAAAGGGAGAGTGGTTCCCGGGAGGGAGGGGATTTCCAGCGGAAAGGGGCGGGGGAAAGGTGCGAAAGCGGCGTGGGAGTGCCGGCTAGGCAGCGGGTCGCTGCTGCGGGTCTGTTTGCAAAATAGCGAGTGACCACAGCGAGCTCAAGGGGAGATCCCAAAGAGAGGGCGAGGAGTCCAGGGTTGCCTCTGGACAGTCTGGAAGAGTTAAGCCAAAGGGCCCTCGCGCGGCTCCAGAGACCTGGGTGCGGGGGAGGGATTTTGGAAGTCGGGATAGCCGAGAGTGAGGAGCCAAGGGTACGGGAGATTAGTTGTGTGGGAAGTGTGGGTGGGGCTTGGGGGTGGCTTGGTGGGTGCTGCGTGGGAGATCTTGGTTTGGAGTTTTCTACAGTCTTGCAGTCTTGCCCCGGTTGGGTAGAATCACGCTACTCGCCTTTGTACAAGAAACTGTCTCCTGGGGCAAGGAAGGAGCCAGAATGGCCTGGGCTCTGAAGCTGCCTCTGGCCGATGAGGTGATTGAATCCGGGCTGGTGCAGGACTTTGATGCTAGTCTATCCGGGATCGGCCAGGAACTGGGTGCTGGTGCCTATAGCATGAGGTGAGTGAGATTTTCCCAGACCCTGCACCTTCTGAGTAACAAAGGCAGGATAGAGAATAACGGGGGAGGAAAAGAGGTGTGTTGAGTTAGAGAAGCTCTCCGCGGTTAGAGAAAAGGAACTTGTTTCTTTTTTGAGTGGTGAGTATTGTGGTAGAAATGGAAAAAGGTTATGGACAGTATCAAGAAGAATGACTCTTGATTAGCAACCAAGTGAATGTTGAGAGGCTGTTGTGCCAGTGTGGGTGATTTGGAGACTGGTGTGTGTGTGTGTGTGTGTGTGTACGTATGTGTGGGTAGGTTGCACTGGACTTGTGTAAGAGGCCACATTGAACATGTGAGATGTTTAGGGAGTTGGGACTTAATGATAAATATTGGTTGATTGCTTTGGGGGAAGAAATGTGAGGTCCTAAATCCACACATCTATATCTTAACCAGCTTTCAGGCTTTACTCAATTCTGGGGTTTCTGACTTTTGAAACACAAGCCGTGAAATGAGAAAGTGTCAACAAGAACTTTTAGATGCTTCTAGACCTTCATGTATCAAGCCAAATATTGATAATAAATAAAAATCTCCTGTGAAAGCAACATAACCTGCCATGTAATTTATTTGCATGCCTTAGCTACTTCATTCCCCCAATATAGTTTGTTTCATTTAAAAGATGTGCAAGAGCCATGTCTGGAAATGTTGAAACATCTGCTTCTTAATATTTGATGGAATATTACTGGGTTTCCAAATGCATAATAAGGCTTAATCTCAGTAAGTGAGTCAAAGAGACTTTAGAATTTAGCATTTTTAATTAGGTTTATGAGTTTATAATGGGATTTTGCCTTTTATGGTGAAAGTGGGCAAATTTTGTATTCTGTTAGTGAGTGTCTTTGAGAGTTATAAAAGTGAACTTCCTTTCTTTAACCCTGCTAAGCCAAAGTGAACTTTCCTCACTGAAGTAAAATTATTAGTTAGAATTTAATACTTCATTTTCAGGAATCTTTGCTTATAGTTAGAATAGTAAAGGCCATCCTTTAATACATATTTTAGTAATTTTCAGGGAAATTTGAGTTCTATCATGCAGTGCTCTTAGCCTTGAGAAGTTTAATTTTGTCAGTTCTTTTTTAAATAAGTCTTACTGTTAAAATAGAGATTAACCTGGTCTGCAAGTAAATGTCCTGACCCTGAGCTTGTGCGTCAGTACTGACATAATATTTGACAATTTATGGTGGTGTTCGTATAAAGATTACTACCACAAAAAGTTAAGTTGTGTCTAGGTTATCATGGAGATAACCTAGATAACCTCCATCTAGGTTATGGATGGAGATAATTGAATATAGCTGTACTTGGTATAAAAATAACATCATTAGCAAACATTTGGGTATCAACTGTGTGCTCTCTCTACCGTGTGACCTTACCTTACATTTATGAATGCTTTCCTATTCATATCCTGAGTGGTCCTCACATGTATTAGTAGAATGCCTTGTATATTTACATGTTTGGAATTTTTTTCCAACATTAAATCCACAATAGTTTTCAAACCACTTTGTTTTTTCTCAGTAGCATAATGCGTAAACATTTTTTTTCAAGTATTTTTTTCTTTGTCCTCTTTCACCTTCCTCCTTTTCATGCACTTTGCTATTGTCATGATTCTCTTATCTCTTAACACACATTTAATCATTTGCATTAATTTGGGTTAAATAGATATTAGTTCTCAAACTGTATGTAGTATTTAGAGAGTCATCTGGAAACATAAAAAATAGTTTCCAACATCCCATCTTTGGTGATTGACTGGGGCACAGACTAAAAAGCTGATTTTTTAAAAACAAGTTCTTCGTTGATTTTGTTGCAAATAGTCCATGGACCACGTTTTGAGAAACACTGATTGGAGGAGATTTTATACTCAAAGACAATGATTCTTTGCTCTCCCTTTTTCTTCTTTTAACTAAACCTGTGATTGCTTTTCCTAAACCTTGGTTAGGGAAATGTTCTCTCTCACAGCAATTTTTAAAACAATTTTTATGTGTTTGTTTATTTTGGCTGCTCTGGGTCTTTGTTGACGTGTGAGGGCTTTTTGTATTATAGTTGGGGTGAGCAGGGCCTACTCTCTAGTAGCAGTGCGCTGGCATCTGTTGACGGTGGCTTCTCTTGATGCAGAACTTGGGCCTAGGGCATTGCAGGCCTCAGTAGTTTAGAGGGCAGGCCCAGTAGTTGTGGCCCACGGTCCTGGCTACCCCAGGGCATGTGGGATTCTCCTGGAACAGGAATCGAATCTGTGTTCCCTGCAGTGCCGGGTGGCCTGCCAACCACTGGACTGCCAGGGAAGTCCCAACAGCAGTTTGTTTTGTAAAATATTTTCCTAACGTATTTGTTTTACCCTGATTTGCTTATTTCTACTGCATCTTAAAATGGTTTCATTTATACATCTGTTGGTTTATATTTTATAAATGATTTACCTTAGTTGGATGTTTTGTTTCTTCATCTGCCATTGCATTCATTAACTGTATTATTTTCATAAGTGGTCCTCTAATAGTCTCTATATTTTTTCCTTACGTCTTAATACATGGTACACACTTTATAATTAAAATAAAATTCCCTGAAAACATGCTGAATAAAAGAAGCCAGTCACACACACACACACGAAGAAGCCAGTCACAAAAGACTACGTATGATTCTATTTCTTAGGAATGTCTAGAATTGGCAAATCTATAGGGACAGAAAGTAGATTAATGGTTGACTAGATAGTGAAGGACAGGGAAGCCTGGTGTCCAGGGGGTCACACTGAATAATATGTCTTTGTATCAGTTTACTTATCCATTCACCTACTGAAGGGCATCTTGGTTGCTTCCAAGCTTAGGCATTATAAATAAAGCTGTTATAAACATCTGTGTGCAGATGGTTTTCATCTTCTTTGGGCAGATACCAAGGAGTGCCATTGCTGGGTCATATGGTATGAGTACGTTTAGTTTCGTAAAAAGCTGCCAAACTGTCCTCCATAGTGGCTGTACCATTTTGATTCCTGTCAGAAATGAGAGAGTTCTGGTGTTACTCCACATCTTGTCAGAATTTGGTGGTGTCGTTGTTCTGGATTTTGGCCATCCTAAAAGGTGTATAGTGTATACTTTTTCAAGATCTGCCAAGGTGTTTTACATAACAGCTGAACCATTTTACATTCTCACCAACAATGTACAAGGGGTCATATTTCTCTGCATCCTCATCAATACCTGTTTTTTGTGTTTTAAAGTCATCCCAGTGAGTGTGAACTAGGATCTGATATTATTTGTTCTACGTTCCCTTGATGACCATGATGCTGAACACTTTTCATGCGTTTGTTGGCCATTCATGTATCTTCTTTGGAAAAGGGTCTATTTGAGTCCTTTGTGAAAGTGAAAGTCGCTCAGTCGTGTCTGACTCTTTGCAGCCCTATGCCGCTATACAGTCTATGGAATTCTCCAGGCCAGAATACTGGAGTGGGTAGCCTTTCCCTTCTGCAGAGGATCGTCTCAACCCAGGGATCAAATCCAGGTCTCCTGCATTGCAGGCGTATTCTTAGCAGCTGAGCCACAAGGGAAGCCCATTTGAGTCCTTTACCCAGTTTTAAACTGGGTTGTTTTCACATTGTTGAGTCAAAGAGTTCTTTATGTATTCTGGTTACTAGATCATTCGGCTTCCCAGGTGGCTCAGTAGTAAGGAATCCACCTCCTATTACAGGAGATGTGGATTCGATCCCTGGGTGGGGAAGATGCCCCGGAGAAGGAAATGGCAACCCACTCCAGTATTCTTGTCTGGAAAATCCCATGTGCAGAAGAACCTGGCAGGCTACCATCGATGGGGTCACAGGAGAGTCAGGCATGACTTAGGGACTAAACAGCAGCAACAACAAGATCATTATTAAATAATGTGGTTTGTAGATACTTTCTCCAGTTCTGCATGTTGTCTTTCACATTCTTGACAATGTCCTTTGATTCACAAAAGTGTGTAGTTTTTAAAAAATATTTATTTGTTATTTTATTTGGCTGTGCTGGGTCTTACTTGCAGTATGCAAACTCTTAGTTTTAGGAAGTGGGATCTAGTTCCCTGACCAGGGATTGAACCTGGACCCCTGC